GGGTTGATTTGATTTCACCCCTTGTGTCTGATATAGATCTCCACTACCCCCCCCTTCTTCCTTGGTTGGGGAGGCAGCACTGCTTTGTGGTTCATCTCAGGTGACAAAATGTTTTGTCGGCCCTGAATGTTGCAGCGTAGTCCTGACCTGTGTGTGTTCCCTCAGCCTGTGTTGGAGGATTGTTAACAACGGGTGTTAGCATAAAAGGCAGGAGTCTCAACTCTAATCTGGGTGTTACTACATTAGCATGCAACTCATTTGGGCAGGTTTTTCTGCAGTTTCATGCTAAGGCCATGTTTTCTGTGCACTTTTCCCTGTTACATGGATACATATTTGCTGGAGTAGAGTTCAGTTCTCGTTGCCTGTATTGTTCTGTGCCTGTGTTTTCCCATCCTTCTCTTTCATGTTGCCTTTGGCTTGCACCGTATCCTGAGTCAGTCTTTTCATGAAATGGTCTTTAGTTAGGACATAGAAGGGGTTTTTAATGCGGTGATTTTGAGTTGCATTTCTTGCCTTTGGACATGAGATGGCATTAGATCCCGCTGATACCTTCTTACATGCCTAACCTTAGGGCCGCCACTCTATTGGAGGAAGCATAGTTGATTAAATCATGAGTCTTTGCTGGTTGATTGATTAAATCTACATACGTTTGCACCTGAGGAAAGAAGGATACTTCTAAAATCCCCACAGGCATTGTTCCATCAGGCAGAGGAACAGCCATTGCAAACAAGCATCAACAGAAGGGGGTGCCCTCATCACACACCCCAAAAATGGAATGGGAGGCAGCAAGGTGCAGTGGTTAGAGTACTGGACCAGGAACAGGAAGGCCCGGGTTCAAATTCTCGTAACTCAGACATGAAATTGACTTGGTGATGTCGTGTCTGTTGCTGTGCTGAAGCCAAATGTACCTCACAGGGTCGTTATGAGGAGGTATGCTTGCCATATTTCAAGAAGTAAAAATCCGGACACAACTTTTGGGAAAGTTGAGCTTTTTTGGGGAAAGTTTCAGAAAAGTGGACATTTTGCTGATTCCCCCAAATTTCCCTCAGACGCTAAGTTCATCATTGGAATCCCAGACATGTCTGGAAAAATCCAGACATATGGCAGCCATAGAGGAGGAAAATGGGGAAGGGAGAACCACACACAAGGCCTTGAGCTCTTTTGAGGAAAGGTGGGATCAAAATGTAATAAAAAACGTAAGTTTCCTGGAGCTGCAGAAGCAACTGGATGCATTGCTCTGTAGCACAAGCAAAGCAGCACTTGTCTGCTTAAGGCAGAAGTTTTCAACCAGTTCCCTTGACCAACTCCATTCTTTCTGCGGCACCCCTGTGGGGCTCAGGAGCCCAGTTATGTCACCCCTTGCCTGCCGAGCTGGCAGCCTCTCACCCTTTTTCGAACACCCTCCCTTGTGGAGTGTTCCCTCAGCCTCCTCCCCTCTTCGTGGGAGTCCCCTGGGCAGCTGCTGCTGCTGCCGTCCCTGGTCTCTGAGCTGCCCCCCAACCTGCCCTAAAGAGAGGTGCTTCCCAGAGGCACCATTGAGCTGCAAGGCTTATAGCCCGGGCTGCTGCAACAAACAGCCACCCAAGTCTTTGGGAGGCAGAGATGCGAGAGGGCATCAGATGAGGGAGAGAAGGAAAGAGGGACAGAGGCCAGTGTTGCCCACGACACCCCTGACCATCATTCAAGGCACCCCAGGGTGCCACGGCACACCGGCTGAAAACCACTGGCTTAAGGGGTTACCCAATGCTCATCTGACAAATTCTGGTTTGGAAGATGCCTCTTCAATACAGGGCACTCATCAAACTGACTTAAAAGAGCTTGTGCATCTCAAAAGCGTGTCTGTCCTTCTGCATGGTTCTCCGTCCGTAGAAAAGCCCCGTTATATCCCCTGCTAGAATGAGGACAACCCTCATCTCAGCTATGGAACCTAGTTCTCAAATTTCTGCTTTCCAACTCCCTGTGAAACTTGGATTAGTGGAATCTGGGTTTATTATTATTCTCCCCAAGGAGCAGCCTTAGCTCAGTGGTAGATCACGTGATACTGTCTGTGCATGCGGACCAGTCCTGGGTTTAATCTCATGCCGGGCTGAAAGCTGCTCTCCAGTTTCTCATATGTTTCTTCCTAACCACCCCCTGCCCCGCCCCGCCCCGCCCCTACCGGGCCACAGTAAAAGAGGCTTGTGATTTTCTGCCTCATTCCTAGGATGCTTTAGAATGTCATCGAAAGTCATAAGAAGAGCCTACTGGATCAGGCCAAGGACCACCTAGTCCAGCGTCCTGTTCTCATAGTGGCCAACCAGATGCCCCAGTGGGAAACCTGCAAGCAGGATCTGGGCAGGGACACGATCCCCAGCAACTGGCATTCAAAGGCGGTAATGCCTCTGACAACGGAGGTGGAATGTAGCCATTGTGGCTAGTAGCCATTGACTGCCTCCTCCCTCCATGAATTTGTCTAACCCTCTTTCAGAGCCAGCTTGGCTCATGACCTCTTATGAGTGTGAATTGCACTGTCTATGTTCTGTGAGAACAAGTACTTTTTATTTAGCTGGCCTGAATGTTCCAACATTCAGATTCACATCATCATCATCATCATCATCATCATCATAACAATTTATTATTTGTACCCTGCCCATCTGGCTGGGTTTCCCCAGCCACTCTGGGCGGCTTCCAACAAAGATTAAAAATACATCAAAATGTCCAGTACTTCTCCCAGCAACTCTGAAATGGGTTGGTTTATTCCATATTTTGTCTGCTCCCTCTCCTGAATGGGCAGAGGGAATGGAAGCCTGGTTCCTGACCTTGCCTCATCAGCAGCAACAAGGCTCTCGTATTCTTAGAACAGACCTTAAAATAAATAATACGCTATTGATCTTACATGGTACCCTGTGTTAGTTCTATTCCGAGGAGACCCGTTGAAGTTAACGGGCATGTCTCGCTTTCATCCAGTAATTTCAATGGGTCCACGCTGAGTAGGGCTTAATTGGCTCCACTTCATTCTTATTCATTCTTTGCTCTAAGATACGGTTCCCATAATTTAGAAGAGCAAAAAAGAGGACACGTTTCCCAACTTCTAAGTATGGATCACTTTGACGACACTCATTTTAAATACCCCTAACTATACGTAAGCGGACGCGGGTGGCACTGTGGGTTAAACCACAGAGCCTAGGGCTTGCCGATCAGAAGGTCGGCAGTTTGAATCCCCACGACGGGGTGAGCTCCCGTTGTTTGGTCCCAGCTCCTGCCCACCTAGCAGTTCAAAAGCACGTCAAATGCAAGTAGATAAATAGGTACCGCTCCGGCGGGAAGGTAAACGGCGTTTCCGTGCACTGCTCTGGTTCGCCAGAAGTGGCTTATTCATACTGGCCACATGACCCGGAAGCTGTATGCCGGCTCCTTCGGCCAGTAAAGCAAGATGAGCATCGCAATTCCAGTGTCATTTGCGACTGGACCTAACGGTCAGGGGTCCCTTTACCTTTTATACGTAGGCTATAGAAGCTGTGATATATAGCTAGTAGCAATGTTCTTAACTTTCAACAACAAAATAAAAATAATACATATTGCTCTCTCATTTGCCACATGAAAATATTTGGGCTCATGTTCACATCTTGGTGAACCTAAGTGTGCACACCATAGGGTTGGCATACATCCAGAATTTCCCAGACATAGAAAGAATATGGCACTTGGAAGCAGTGTCTGGGCAGAAATCACTAAAATGTCCAGGAAACTCTAGATTTTGGTGAATTTTCCCCCAAATAGCTCAAAAACTTCATTTAAAAAAAATATTTTGCAACCCTAGCACACAACAATTTATTTAAAGTGTTTAACATGAATAAATAGACTCTCCTTAAGGGCAAGGGGATGTTAACTCTTGCCCTCCCAGACTCTTTTAGTTCTGCCACTAGATAAGGGACTTACCAGTCAATAGAGTATTTAGCTAGTTTAAGATGCTGCTCTCTTGTAATTCTCTGCTGCAGACTAGCTTAGCCGGGTGCCTTAGATTTGAGTCTAATGCACTAGAAAAAAAATTCTTGGGTTACTGTAAAGAAAAACAAAAACAAAAACTGGACATTTTGTCGAATTTTAAAAATCCATAGGGACAGAAATTTTAATCCTGAAAAAGAGGATGTGTCTGGGAAAAAGTGGACCAATGAGTTAATGGCCAACAAACATTCTCAGTCTTTGTTTCCTCTAAGACAGAGAGGGAGAATCTGTGGCCCTCCAAGCTTTGCTCGACTCGAGTTCCCATCAGACCCGGGAGCCAGCATGGCCCAATGGTCAGGGAGTGACAGTCCAGTCACATCTGGAGGGCACCAGATGTTCCCCACCCCTGGTTTAGGACATACCACATACGGCCAGTTTGGAAGTGTGGTCAGTGAGCAACCTCAAGGTTGGTGGGAAGCAGGGAGGGCTTCTGTGGGAGTATTTTCTGTTGTGAAGGAGAGGACAGCTTCTGCAGCTATTATGCCTCCCATTTTGCTGCTGGATGAGCAGGCGGCTATCTCTCCATCATGTTGGCATTAGCAATGGCTTCATGGTGGCCATCTACACTAAGGTCTTATTGGGTACTAAGGTTGACAGAGGGAGCCCACTTCACAGGTCTGCTGCCCTCAGAAGCTTAGGTGGAGGGGCCCATAACAGGGCCTTCTCTGTGTCAGCCCCTAAACACAGGTGCATCTGGTACCTAAATTGTATAGCTTTCATTGTGCGCTGAAGTTGCCACCTCTTTGACACCAGAGTTCCATATTTTTGGAGCCCACACTATTCCTCTGATTGGGAAATATTTTCACTGATTACATTTTTATATTGCCGTAACCCATCCTGGGAACTTAGGGTGAAGAGTGGTGGTGATAATAATAATAATATTGATTGCCCCACACACTTTGCATAGCAAAAATATCCACAGAAATGAAACCCTCTTCTTTCTTCTTCTCGGCTCTTCCATCAGTCTTGGCTCTGATATTCAAAGAGTAGCAAACAATCATGCCACATATAACAGAACGTACTTTAAAATAAGCTTTATTTAGTTGTTGTGTATTTTTTTTTAATATTTTCATATCTGCATCCATGCCTTCAAGGAATTGTTTCTCCCCACACATGTTGGGGGAGGGAAGAAAAGAAAAGTTAAATCTAATGTTACCCATAGTTCAGAAGCTATTTTATGGTAGTAGTTCTCTTTTAAATAAATCACCTTCTTAGTTTTGCTTTTAAAATAATTATTTCCTAATTTACAAAACAAAACCGAAAAAGGGGGGGAGGTTTTTGTTTTAAAGAGAGAAAACAAGAAAGCTGAAATGGAAAAAAGAAGAAGAAATGTCTAAACATATTCCAGAAGTTTTGCTGTTTGGATTTTTTTTAACTCTGATTAAAAGGGAAGGTGGGGGAAGGGATGGGGGTGGGGAGGGAAGGAATGTGTAGCATATTGCAAAGAAGTGACCCACAGTGAAATGTTCTGCCTCTTGTTTACTTGAGGCTAATGGGAACTTCCTTCTGAAATATAAACAGTAGCTTTGGAGAGGCAATTTTTGTCAGGATTGTGGCAGGGGAGAGAAAGGGTTAAACTCCCCTCTCTCACCCCCCTGGCTTCTTTGCAACTGCAATTTTACATAACAAAGGATATGCATGTTGCCATTAACATAATATCTACTTGAGCTGTAAGATACCCCTTGCTCATACCAACATTGGCTGGCAGAGTCCATTTCCGCTTTCTCCAGTTAGCAGAACCTTCATGCAGTCCTCCTTGCAATCTTAAGACAAGGTGCCCCCATTCCAAAAAGATGGGATTCTCAAAAGCCAGCCCAGCACCAGAATCCATTGCCTTCCACTATCAAGAGTGGCAAATGGTATTTGTTAAGCCTGCATCATGATGGGTTGGGTTAGCTGCCTATTAACTGGAAAAGCAAAGTCTTGGGGACAGGGAAGAGATGGGGTGGCTTTTGAAAGCACCTCCCAAATCTTTTTTAATTTTTTTGCCTGAGGTGTAATTCCTACTAAGAGCCTGGCAAAAGGCATCTACCCCTGCCACTATCCCTCACCCCGGATTTAGAAAAAATCTAGGTTGATGACACTGTCAAAAAAAGAGAGAGATGATTTGGTTGCAGAAATGCTTGACTGAAGGAAGCAATGGCCCAATTGTAACATCTGTAAGGTCTTGCTGGTGCAGAGGGGAGTTAGAAATCGCTGTGTTCTGGGACAGAGAGAAGCGGAGGCTTTTTTTATGTCAACAAAACGGGTCTGAGGCAGTTAACAGGCTCCAGAGTTCCTGTGCATGAGAGACATAAAAATGACAAACTGAAGAATGTTTGCATATCTTCTTTACTTGCCTTGCGCCATTTTATTCTGCTTCAGCTCAAATGGGAGGAGCATAGAGGTCTAGCGCATCTCTTCCAACCCTTCTGAGATTCTATCAGCTGTTGTTGCACACTTTCAAGATTATTTCCATAACCATAAGGTCTAGAAACTTGGACAAGTATAAGGGAACAGAGGTACCTATGTCTGCAGTAATGGTCACAGGCCAGAACTGAAGTACACAGCTCCTTGGGGGGAACTCCTGAAGGAATCAGATAAAAATACTTAAGCCCAGTGCAGGATCTCCTCATGTATTAATTGTCCTTAAAACAGACTCCCCTCTGCTGACAGCGCGTTTGACTTGGCATCAGGAATGTCTCCATCTTCTAAACCAGGGGATGAAAGACCACAGGGCTGCAGCCCCCCGTTAGAACTTGGATTCTCACATGACATTTTCAAGGCAAATGTGTGTCCTCCTGAGAGTCACTCCCAAGCTTGGCTAAAACGACCTCACTGTGTAACTAGGGGAAATGTTATTGCCAGAGATGTGCTCCTTGTATGGGTGGGTGTGTGGAACGTGTGCCCGTGACGATGCTGAGCTGCAGGGGGCAAGGAGATGGCGAGATGTCACCCCAAGTCCATAAGGAAACCACTCTCATGCTATGAATTGAGTGCCCTGAATCAAGTGCCACGTCCCCAGAGCCATTTTTCTCCAGAGGAGAAAACGAACCAAGCTTCTCGGCACGCACAGATCAACAAGGAGCCACAACGTGCTTAAGTTTCCAGGGTGCACATGCCCTGAGAGGTGCACCCAAGGCAGTCACATGACTGAGTGTCCTCACTATAGCACCCTGGGTGGAAGGGAGTCTGGGGGATGCAGTCCAAAGGACGTTGCTTGATGGAAATCTACACGCCCCAGGGGTGTTGCTATTCTGGTGTCCAGGCAGCGAAGGCTGAATGAAGGCCTTGCTGGGGTGTTTCCTGGGTCCTATGTTTGTGAGGCATGGCCCAGGAGCCTGTGGATGGGGTTTTGGGGGGGGGTGAGCTCAGAGAGGGAGGGGATCAAGCTCTGTGGTCCTCCTGATATTTTCTGTTGTGTAATGTGGCTTTTTTTTTTGGGGGGGGAACCCCAAACCTCTTAATTTTTAAAGAAGAGTTGTTTTTAATTAAGGAAAAGCTTGGTTGGATCAATAAATTCTGAACTGAGAGTAGAGGGGGGCTGTCTGTTACTCCTAAGCAGCTGGAGGTCATGGGGGAGATCTATGTTAAAAAGAGGTCTTACTACGATATTTGACCCTGGCTACTGCCCAGGCAAAGTGCAAGTAGATAAATAGGTACTGCTCCAGCGGGAAGGTAAATGGCGTTTCCGTGAACTGCTCTGGTGTTGGTGTTCCATTGTGCCAGAAGTGGCTTAGTCATGCTGGCCACACGACCCAGAAAAACGACAAATGCCAGCTCTCTCAGCCTGTAAAGCGAGATGAATGCCGCAACCCCAGAGTCGTCTGCGCCTGAACTTAACTGTCAGGGGTCCTTTACCTTTTTACCTTTTTTTTTTAAACTGCCCAGGCAAATTCAAAGCTTGACCTGGAAGCTTTTGTAGCCCTACCAGGTCAAGGGGGACCAATGAACTGCCTAGGTGGGTGAAGACACTCTGTAGCCCAGGAGGACACCACAGTCCAGGGGACCTTCAAACACTTCACCCCAAGGCGAGGCAGAGTCCAGATCTAAAGCTTCCAGGCTCAGCTGTTCCAGTGTGGATTTCTACATCCCTGGAAAGCAAGTTTCTAAAAATAAATATTAATAGGAATTTTGAATCAATATTTTGTATGGGCCACCAACAGCAGTTTCACCCATTTAGCTCCCTACCATATTTGCCAGCTCTTAGGTGTGGGCCACAATCTGCCCCCTCTGTTGAAGACCCCTTTCCCTGTGTCCCAGCTCATGTAGGAGGGAGCAACAGAGATCCTGAGAAATTTGGAACAAAGCTGAGGGCCTCATGGAGACCCTAAGCCCTTGGTGGGGTACCTTCAGCCTACAGGGCTAATCAGGCCTGTTGAGACTCATTTGGCCCACAAAGTGATGTTTGGCCAAGCCCACATGATCCAAATTTGATGGTGAAGGAGTGTCTAGGCCAAAGAGGGTTTGGAGGCACTGTTGAGCAGTGGCACGTGCAAGCTGTATGCAACACACTTGCAAAAGCCTTGTGCGTTGTACTCCGCAAGTGACCATTCGCTGGTGTGTGGCTCTTCGCAAACTCTGCCAATCATTTGGTTGTCTGCCTGGGCTCTTGGCACCATTATCATTGAGGCTATTAGGCCATTGTGAAACGAAGGAGTTAAGGGTCCTGCCTGCCAGGCAGATCCAGTTCTCTACCCTGCAGCTCACTTGCACACTTAAATGGGCACCATGCTGATGAGCTACTGCTATTTCAGGGTCCGCAGATCTTCCTTTGCACCTTCTCCAATCCTGTTTTTATGCCTGCAAAGAAATGGTTGTTTAGCAGCAACAGTGCAGCAGCTGCTGCAGAGGCCAAAAAACAGGGCAGTTAGTTTTCTCATCTTGTTACTGACATGCAACGTGTGTGTTTGGAACCCTGTTTCTTATTTCTAAATTTTCCACAGTGCTAGGCATGTTTAGCTGTCAGTTTGTTTGAATCCTATCCTCCGCATTGCAAATTTGCACCTGATGCTTTGATAAACCCTGCAAAAAAGGGATAACTGCATTCTCATGCTTGTGTCGAGATCTTTTGTGTGGGTATTGAGACCTGTGCGTGTGTGGTTTCAATGATGTAAATGTACACACCTGTGGACTGACAAATCTCTGCCAAAAAGCAAATCTGATGCAATTGTTTGTATAGGGGTATCTAGTTCTATTTGTGTGGTGTTCAAGCAATATGCCAGAGCACATGTGCCCATCACTAAAACACTGCACAAAATACCTTATGCAATCATGTACGCGATCACATCTGCACCACTTTTTGGGCAGTGATTTATCAATGCACACAGGAATGTTGGAAGCTGTCTTATACCACTAGGCCATATTTCTTAGTACGCTTTATACTGGCTGGAAGTGGCTCTCCAGGATTTCAGCCATGGGTGTCTCTTAGCTCTACCTGCAGATGCCAAGGACTGAACTGGGGACTTTCAGTTTGCAAAGCAGATGCCGTACCACTGAGCTATAGCTCCTCCACCATATGCTCATTGGTACTGTAGAAGTAAATAAGGTGAAGAAACTTGGGTGCCCTTGAAAAAACGCCGGGGGAAAACACACACCAAACAAACTCTGTTTCTCATTTAACACTAAACCATGGCTTAATAACCGATAGTTATTAGCACTAGGTGCAAGCCCAGTTCAGAAGTTTCACTATGGTTTGTTTGTTGTCGGCAAGCTAAGAACTAAAACCATGGTTTGTTTTCATTATTAATGTAAAAAATATATACTGCTCAACACAGTAAAAAAATAATAATCCCTAAGCAGTTTGCAAAAATAAGTGTTCAGCGATAAAAATGCAAACGTTCAACAAAATTACATAAAAACTGGGATAAAAACAAAATAAAAACACAACTGTGTATCATAAATAAAACTGAGTCCTGAATAAAAATCAAGGGCTATATCAAACTAGGTTTTACTAGGAGTAAACCCAATGAAATGAATGGACCTAAGTTAGCCATACCCATTAATTTCAATGCATTCAATCTGACCTGGACTCACATAAGATGCAGCCCCCAAAACGTAGGAGAGATTCCTGGAAAACCTGAGTAATGACACATGCTTTAAAGAGGCACCTGAAGATCTTCACAATCTCTGCCTTGTGCTTTATGCAAAGAGGGAGCAACCTAGAAGGTGACTGCTGTTGTCAAGAAAGTCCGCTTCTGTGCTACTGCCAATGGACAATCAGCTGGTTGTGGAATGACCAGCAAGCAGGAGTTGAATATAAGAGCCTGTGGTTCTCAGCAATGGGCATTCAAAGACACACTGCTTCTGGGGGTTGGGAGCAGAGCCACTATGGCTGGAAGCTACGAAGAAGCTGACCCTCCATGAATCTGTCTAATCCTTTTTTTAAAAAGCCATCCAAATTGTTGACCATCATTGCCTCTGGTGGTAGTGAGTTCCATAGTTTAAGAAGTGCTTTCTTTGGCTGCCCTGAATATTCCAGCTCTTGGCTTCCCCCGATGCCCAAAAGTTCCAGAATTATGAGATATTTCTCTATTCACTTTCCCTGTATCATGCACACTTCTATCCTGTCACTTCTTGGTCATCCTTTCCTTAAACTAAACCCCCCCCCAATGTTATAACCCTTGATCTGTTTTGTCTGCCCTTTTGTGAAAGCTTTCCAGCTGTAAAATATTCATTTTGAGGTGGGGTGCACAGAGTATTTCAAATGTGGCTACACCATAGATTTGTCTAAAGGCATCATGATATGGATAGTTTTGTTTTCGATTCCTTTCCTAATGACCCCTCGCATGGAATTCACTTTTTTTCCAGCTGCCGCACACCTTCATCTGACTATCCACTAAGACTCCAAGGTCTCGTTCCTGGTCAGTCACTACCAGTTCAGACCCTATGAGTGGATATGTGAAATTTAGCGTTTTTCGTCCCAACCTTACACTTGCTTACTTTGAACTGCATTTACTGCCCGTTCCCCCTAGGAAAATGAGACAAATGGCTCCTTCTGTCTCAACTGCAGGATTACAAAATTTGGTCCACAGTTCTCCCAATTCTGCCAGAGGATCTGGAAGGGCTAATCAATTGACCAAGGAAATACGATCAAGTTCAGAAGTGCCATGGTTTCTGGACCAGCAGTCCTTGGATGTAAAGTCATCAAGCAATAGTAACTCTGAGGAGGAGGTGGATCCCTAATCCTTCCTGAGTATATCTGCTGGCAACGCAGTCCACACACCGGCCCCTGAAACCCAAGGAGGTACTTTCCCCACAGGACTCTAATCAGTAGTGGTCAGATTCCTTGGAGGCTCAAGTATACCCAGGCGACTTTCTCTAAAGGAGTACTCGAAATGCCAAACCCCACTGCTGAGAAGCCAGCAGCTGTCTTGAACAGCACTAGTCCTTTAACTGGCCATCAGCAGCACTCCAAGGGTTGGGCTTTCCCCATAACTTTTCAGTTCAGACTACAAAGCCCTGGCAGTTGATTCAGGCCAGTGCTGAGACAACATGATCTTCCTGTCTCAGCTGCAGGGTTGCTATCCATGGTCCTGAATGCCCGCTACAGAACTACAGAACTCTGCACAGCATCTCTGCCCTTGATCAGGGTCCTGGGCTTGTCTCAGGACCAAGGCAGCTCCAGATCCCTGGACCTACCCTTCTTCACCTTGCTTGGGTTTCCTCTTGTTGGTGGAAACTGAGCTGGTGGGTGGAGAGTAGAAACCAAAACTACGTTCCCAGTAGTTGTGTCAATGGGCCAAGCCAGTGTTTTCAACTGTGTGAAGCAGCGATAGGTTTTTGTTGACATAAAATATCACCTTAGACAATGGGCCATTGCTTGCTTCCATACCTTGGTCCTACAGAAGCAACTTCAAGTCCATTTTCCACTTGCCTTTTCTCGCTGAAGTCTCCTTGACATTTCAAATCCAAGGAAGACGTTGGCCATTTTGTGGCTGAATTATGGTTCACTCATTTTTGATCTGAATGCACATTCAGAACATCAGTGTGTGAAATCCCTGATCTTGCCTGCGGGATGGGGACAAATGACAATGTCAAGCGAGGGGTTGAGACAGAGTTCAAAGCAGCTTTGGATGTTCTTGCAAGGCCTGAACTTCAGTCACTCACAATCCATGAAAAACTATCTAGGGAAATAAGTAATAATATCGCATCACTGTGCCGCTCTGAGCAGCGGCAGCAGCTGATGTGAGTTAACCAGAAAGTGACCTGAACTGACAGAAATGCACATTTGGCATTTTGGTTGGGTGTTCCGGCAGAGAGTCAGGGAGAGGAGGGGGGTGGATGGAGGCAGGGAGAAGGAAAATGGGGGAAACTAACATTTGTTCTCTTGGCATCAAATCCATCATACTTCAGCTCTGCAAATTCAACTCCCAGAGAGCAGGGAAGTAGAAACAGCACCCGTCCAAAACCCCCACCCAACGTGGAAAAATATAAATTCCAATATTTATGTAATAATTTAGTTAGAATACATCTTCTGTATTGTGCAAATAAATTAAAAACTAAAACAATATAGGGAGAAAAAAGAGGGTTAAGGAATTATTCCAGATGAGTATGCATTAAAAAACAAAATAGAAAAATTAGGAAGATAAGCAAGAGCGAGCACTTTACATCCATATGATTTCCAGGTATTCTGGCCTGGAAGAGGTCATCTTACTGGGGTTTGGGGTCTTTTATTTTTGGAATTGGGGGTGGCTTTGCACCCAAAGCCCACTCCCCTTTGAACTCTGACCACAAGTAAGAATATGGTCACTTATGAACTGCAGCATAAATGTTTCGTTTGCCACAAGTCTGGCTCAGAAGCCCACTGTGGGCTGAAGGATCATGTCTGTCACATGCAAAAGAAAAGAAAGGTCCAGAGGGTATCTTTGCACAATCGCTCGCAGAAAAAGCTCACAGTGATGCTGTCCATCTTTATAACCATTTCGCTTGTTACTTCCTCCTACAAATGCACCTCTGTGTGGTGGTTTTCAGTTGCAGATAAAAAGGTAAGGACACAGTGTGTGGTATCCAGCTATGTCCGCTTTAGAGTAGACCCACTGAAATTAATGAACATTGCCAGCCTAAGGCCATGAATTTGAATGGGTCAACTCTGAGGAGAACTTAGCTAGATATAACCCAGAGCTTTCACCCAAGCATTTTGTAGTAGTAGTGGTGGACCTAAGCAGATGCGTGGAATTAGTCCAGAACAGCCAGAAATGCCTACATATTCTGCTAATTAGGGTTTCTAATTTCAGTTTCTAATTTTTCCAATCTTAAATTCAGTCCTCTATATTTCTATATCAGTTTGTGATTTTTTAAATAATATATGCATTTTTAATTCAATTGTGCCTAATGTACCCATGTTTACAAGCCATTTCCCCTAACAGAAAGCATTTTTGTATGCTATCGTCATCAGCCTAAGCCTTTCAATGCACATTTTACCCTGGTTAGTGCATTTTTGTATACATTATTTGGCCAGATAGCCACATTGCAAAATTCAGACAAGTGTGAATTTTGCAAAGTGGCTGGGCTTAGGTTCCTGACTGTTTCAGGAATTGTGAATTAGAGAAGTCCATCTTTAAATGTGAATGAGACTGATTTTCTCCCTCAATCCTACAGATATGTCTATGTCAGGCATCCCCAACCTTTGGCCCTCCAGATGTTTAGGACTACAATTCCCATCATCCCTGACCACTGGTCCTGTTAGCTAGGGATCATGGGAGTTGTAGTCCCCAAACATCTGGAGGGCCACAGGTTGGGGATACCTGCTATTTAATCACAGTCCGTTTTAAAAAACAAAGAGATACAGCATAGTTCTACTTAGAAGTAAGCCCCACTGAGTTGAACAGGAAATATTCCCAGGAAGAAGATGGCAGCCTTAACTCTCTCTCTCTCTTTCCCCCTCTCCACTTAAGATTTGTTGGCTGAAATCCCCACGACAGGGTGAGCTCCCGTTGCTCGGTCCCTGCTCCTGCCAACCTAGCAGTTTGAAAGCACGTCAAAGTGCAAGTAGATAAATAGGTACCGCTCCGGTGGGAAGGTAAACGGTGTTTCCGTGTGCTGCTCTGGTTTGCCAGAAGCGGCTTAGTCATGCTGGCCACATGACCCAGAAGCTGTACGCCGGCTCCCTCAGCCAATAAAGCAAGATGAGTGCTGCAATCCCAGAGTTGGCCATGACTGGACCTAATGGGGTCAGGGGTCCCAGTCCCTTTACCTTTACCATCTCTTTGCTTTCACTGGAAGGCAGCAATGTCTGCAGTGAGAGACTGGATAGCACCTCCTCTTCCTGGTTTCCCTGATATCTTCACAACTAAAAGGACTAGAAACGTACATTTTTAAAACTAACACTGCACATTTAGGAAGTGGCAAGGTCTTGTTTTCAGCCGGAGCTCACTGGAGCTCAGCTCCAGCACCTCTCAGGTGGGCACCATTGCGCCATTGGAGAATTTCATGGTGAGCTCTGGCACCTCTTTCTCTAGAAAAATAGCACTGTATTCTGTCCTCCAGTATTCTGAAAGTGGGGCTGGTCCTCACAGCCTCTCTTCCTATAGGTACAGCCCTGGTTTCACCACCTCAGGAGGGACATATTTATAAGAGCAGGCAACCTATTGCCAACAGGGACTCCTTGCCTCACGGTGAGATTTTTCTGGCGATATGATTGTGCAATAGCAGGGATGGCCAACTTCTCCAGTCTTAGGGAACGCCATATGGCAGCACAGAAATTCCCTTTACCTTAGGGATGGTATTCAGTATAACACCTACTCAAAGCAGACCATGGAAATTAATGGACATGACTCTGTTAGGTTCCTTAATCTCAACAGGTCTTCTCTGAGTAGGGATACAACCCCTTGGCTTAAATTCAGTAGGAGGTCTCAAAAGTGATCAAAGCAGAGGGGACACCATCCACATATCCAACCATTACAAGAATGGGAGGTGGTGTCTGCAGGCTGGACCAGAACCCTGGTGGGAGGGGTTTTGGATTCAATTCACCCCACCTGCTTGCTGTGGACCCAATCCAAATCAGTGTCTGGCATCTCCTACTTGCATTGGAGCAGGACTGCAAGGAGAGCAAAAAGCTATTCCACACCAAGGTCTCAATCCAGACTGGAGGCCCCACACCTGCCGTTTGGATTTTGGGAAAAAAGCTTTCATGCAACAGAGTGGTCTTCCTCTCCAGTCTAGCCCAACAAGCTTGACTTGGTGGCTGGATCTCTTGCCCATAAGACAAGGCTGTTGCCCATCCCTGCCGCAAACACACTTCTGAACTGCTGGCTCGCCATGAGATAGCGCGTCCGCCCCACGAGAACAGGACACACCATTTCTCCCTTTCGGCAGCCATCTTGGCAAAAACACACGAGACGCAGACGTCATCTCAGGGTGGGATGCAATAAAAAAAGGGGGAGGGGGGAGAGAACAGCTTTTTGGGGGACAGGAGACATTTACAAGCACACAGTGCACAATATTCCTCGTCGTCGTTGTTATTTACAGATACACAGCAGTCCTTCAAGTTTTTCAAGTTTCGTAAAAAAAAGGGGGAGGGGGGGACGAAGAGGAAAAAGAAGAGTAAAAAAGAAATGCGGGGAAAGCAGGGTCGGAGGAGGCAGGGGGCGGGGAGAAACAAAACAAATAAAAAAGAAAGCACACCCCAGAACAGAACCAGGGAAGGTCACACAACACGACTGGCATCGCTCCATAGACAACAGTTAATGGGGGGCAGGGCAGGGGGTTCACACAGGGGATCGCTGGGGGTTTATGTACAGCGGGTTACATTAGAGGCCACGGGCTCACGATCCGCTGGGTTCGGTTAGAGGCTTTTTTTTTTTGCTTGCGCACACAGACACTCCCACACACGCACGCACACCAGAAGCGGGAGCGGGAGAGGCAGGCCGTCACCAGTCGGCGTCCTCCTCGATATAGTAATCGGGGGCGGTACCATCGAAGAGCCCGGGGTCGAGCGATTTCCGTTGCTTCCCTCTGGCAAAGACGCGGGAGATGGATCCGAAGCCCATTTTCTCTTTCTTCTTTTTCCGTTTTTGGTCTTCGAGGTCTTCTAGAGACTGGGGAGAAAGGAGACGGCAGGTTTTTTCATGGAAAGCGTCACAGAATCGTAGCGCTGAAAGGGACAGCCAAGGGTCATCTAGTCCAACCCCCCGCAATGCCAGAATCCTTGCTAAAGTATCTCTGGCAGAGGACCATCCAACCTCTGCTGGAAAACTTCCAATGAAGGAGAGGCTACCATCTCCTGAAAGAGATCGTTTAACTGTCGAACAGCTCCAACTGTCAGAAAGTTCTTCCTAATGTTTAGCTGGAATCGCCTTTCTTGTAATTGGAATCTATTGGTTTGGGTCGCAACCCTCCGGGGCAGCAGAAAACAAGCTTGCGTCCTCCTTCATGTGGCAGCCCTTCAGATGTATGAAGATGGCTATTGTATCAGACAGGTGATGAGCAAAAAAATGGGCGTGCGCTTCTGAAGTGGGGCCAGTCAGAGATGGGCAACTCTGTTTATTTGGGTTTCTTATTTTCCCACTCTTACATTTGCTTCTCCACATTTCTAAGTTGCTTAGTGAATCCCACCCCCCCAAAGTATCCTAATGAAAATTCATCGCAAGTTTAATGAGAATTTCTCCTGATATACACATTTGCCTAATGCACACACATTGTTGCAATAAAAAAATCCTTTAAAAAATGCTATTTTCAGCACTATATGCATTTTCATGCACATTTGACCCTGGCAAATGCATTTATGTACTCATCACTACTTGGCTGAAGAACTGCCAAGAAATATGAATTTCTAAGGATGGCCTTGCTTTGGTCCATACATTGTTTCAGGAACTACAAATTATGCAAGTTTGACTCTAAGTGAGACGAGAACTTATTTTCTCTACTACCCCTGACACTTGAGGTTGCTGACAGTAGCAGATACATTGTTCAGTATATTGTTTATGGATCGGACCCTCTACAAATTAAGAAGACTGATGCACCTGGGTCCCCTGTAAACAATGTGGGTTGTATCCAACATTATAGTAGACCCGATGAAATCAATGGACACAGCTTAATTAATGGACGTTTCCTCATTAATTTCAGAAGGTCTACTCTGAGTAGGACTTACTTGGGTGGGTAAAGCCCCCTAACAACCCACCTGCTCTGAGTTTAATGCCCTTGGATCTCCTCCCACCCTTACAACACATCCTGGAAAAGTCCCTTTCAATAGGTGTCTGGCCATCCAGGATGACCCAGTTCTTACCTGGACAATTGGGTTGTGCAAGTTTTTCTGTACTGGTCCAGGACTATCTCCCTGCCAGAAGAAAGAGGAATGTCAGCTTGGCACATAGCAGAACAATAGAGCCTGGAGCCTGGGCGGGCTCAATACCCATTGCCCATTGCCGAAGCACGCCTGGCACCTTCCCCCAATGGATTGGCTGGATGCAGAGGACTAGTGGAGAAGAGGTAGCAGACTGGGAGAAGGTGGTGTCGGAACAGGGTTTACTGAGCAGGAAACAGGGTTTAGTGAGCAGGAAGAGGCTGTGGCAGAGAACAGTTTAGAATCAGAATCAGAAGCAGAGGCTGGAGAGGAGAGGAGAAAAGAGACAGAGATGAAGAAGGCTGCTGAAGAAGCCAGGGGGTCTCCCCCTCCTGCTGTGACCAGCTCTCCTCCCTGCTGGTTGCCCAGAACCCACAGAGGTATGAAGAGGGCGGAGCAGAGACAGACAAGGTGACTTTGGCAGGACTTGGGCAGGAAACTTAGGGAGTTGTGGGAGGGTGGGGTCCTCCAGTCCTTGCAAGTGCCTCATTGAGGCAAGACCTACTGGGAAGAGTTGCTGTCCTCACTAGTACTCAGCTGCTTTTGTTTCTTTGAATAAGGAGTTAACTTCACTGACACCTTGTGAGTTACTGCTGACCGGCTCCCGCCTTGAAATTTGAGATATGTTGCGCTTTGCTGTGAAAAGCCCACTGGCTGGCTGAGGAATAAAAATGTTGATGGGATGGCAGTGGTTGGCTCTCAAGGGAGTTCCACAATCCACAATCCTTTCAGCACAGGCTTCTTCCCTGGGGTCAGATCGGGTTACTCTGTACCTTCATGGAGAATGGGAAAATGAGGCACTGCCCCACTAACTTCAGTCCATCTCTAGCCAGCCCTCACTTGCCTGTTTTCTTATGCAAGACCAATCTAGTGGGGCAACGACGCACGTCTGCCACCTCCTCTTTACTCTCAATGTTGCTTTGTAGAAGATGGGGACAAAACTAGAAATAGCTGGCTCAGCCTTTTATTGGCTCCACCTGCTGTTGGGTTTCCTGCCCCACCAGTCCCAAGGGGCGCCAGACACCACTACCATCACCTTGGCATCTCCAGGTGGTTCCTGGAGATCTAAATTCCTCTGAGAACTCATTCGGGAAGGGTAAGAAAGTCTAGTGGGGCAGATGGTAGTAAGCAGATGGTTCATGTCAAAATATTGTCATTCCGTTAAAACACACACAGCCAGCCAGAGCTAATAGGAAGTTCTAGAATTAGCTGGCTCTGTCTGTCTTTGGCTCTGGCACCTAGTGTGAGTCTCCCTGTCCCAGTCCCAAAGGGGACCAACCACCTTTGTGTACCTCTGGTCCCTGAAAGCTGGAATGCAGTCAAATGGAAAACAAAAGCACAAATGAGATTCAGTGTCAGGGCACAGCTAGATGGCAGGCAGGAGATCCATAGGGGAAGACCCATCAATGGGTTCAGAGGAGGGCAACAAAGGTAGTCATATAAACTATATTCCAGATCCTTAATAGCAATTTTTCATTGGATAGTGGGTTCATCATTTCCCCCTCGATAACTACTTGGCAATCTGATCAACAGGTCAATAAATGTTGTAATTCGACTGACTTCTTATTCAAATCAAAAATTAAAAAAGGAGTGGAAATGTGTTGATGAATATATGGCAAAATATTGCTCAAAAAAAGATATGCTAATATGCCTAGATTAAAATGCGAAGTACTGGATGGAAGAAAAATTTGTAAGGAAAGATAATAAGAATTGGAGAAGGTTGTAGAATGCAAAGATTATTGTAAATTGTATAATGTGGAGGAAATCGAGTGGGGGCGGAGGGAAGTGGGAGGAAGGAGAAAAGAATAATATGATGGATTGAGGAATAGAAATGTAAATGTATGGGGGGATGGGGAGGAAATGGTGTTGGCTTTGGTACATCTGTATTGTAAAGTAATATGTGAAAACCAATAATAAAAAAAAAGAAAGGGAAAAAATGTTGTAATGACCTCCCTACCATCTGGAGATGTTACGGGCTGTGTCCAATTAAGTCCTACTCAGAGTAGACCCACTAAAATGAATTGGCCTAAGTTAGTTACGCCCATCATTTTCAATGAGTCTGCTCTGAGTAGGATTAACCCTGGAGTCAATACAGCCTTCATTTTTTACTGTGATGTGCAACATTCAACAATGACGTTACCTTGTACATTTTCATCTCCAGGGAAAATGACACCTTCTGTGAGTGGATGGAGAGACATCTTGGGGCAATGGGATAGGGCACGGGGTGGGGACCCTAAGTGAATGTTGGGTGGGATCATTACCAAAAGGGTGCCACCCTTTTATCTCTTTTGGGAGGAGCCATTTAAAATAAGTAAATAAAAACACTCTGTCTTTCGATGAACTTAGACCCCTGAGGAAGTTTACAACGAAAAGTTTTACAACCAACATTGGCACGACAATTCCTTCCAAAAACCAAAATGGGGTGGTTGTGTGCCTACAGGGGTGTAAGAGAAAAGGGCTCACCCCAAGCATAAGGTGGTAGTTTTCTATACGCTCAGAGAATTCCTTATGTACGTTTTATGTTCAAAAAAGAAAATGAAACATAAAGGAACCTTGAAATGGCCTGACCTGAACCTGTAAACTTCTGGGACATACAAAATGTTGAGGTGGGAAGGGAAGAAAGAGGATTTAACTGGACTGCTAAACCCTCAAACAGGGAGGGCTATAGTCTAGAGGGTTGCATGCCGGGACCATGAACTCATTCCTGAAATGCAAAGGGTTGTTTCAGGAGGAAGGAAAGACGAAAGGGGATGCATTTCCCGCCCTCCAAAATCTGCTCCCTCCCCAACAGCCAGCCCCCAAACTTGAGCACAGCAAAGGAAAATGTTAGATATGCTCTCCCTCAACCCTGACCCACGTAACTCGTAACTCCTTGTTCCAAGGAGACTGGAGCCCTGAACAGGAGCATTTGTCTTATGGGAAAGGGATATACTTCAATATTTCATTGCAGATTGCATTTGCCCTTATTTATTGATTGATTGATTGTATGCACCAAAATATGAAGGGAGTTTCTGAGTGAGACCAAAGACCCATTTAGTCCAGCATTTTGACCAATCAGAGGCCCCAAAGGGAAGCCCGCAAGAAGGATCTGAGTGCAACGGCAACTTTCCCCCATATAGGATCCCCAAGAACTGGAATTCAGGGCCATACAGTCTCTTACGGTGGAGGGAGAACATAGCCATCATTAAAAAGCAGCAGCAGCAAAGCAACCGACCACAGGAGTCGGCTCGGGCGCAAGCGAACAAGGCAAGCAAGTGTGTTAGAACAGTGTTAGGAACATCCAATGACCTGCAGAGGCGCCTTACATTGCAGAGGGAGTGCGTTCGGTGCCGCGGGGAGTTGATGTCGCTTGGTGTGGACGACCGGTCGCCTTCTGCTGCCGACGCATCAGAGATGATGGAAGGCTGTCGGGAATGACACGGGCTCACGCGGACCGCTGAAAGGCAAGCATCGGAGAGGGGCAGGTGAGTCTCCGCCTTGCTGCGGGTGGAAGCCTCCTTGGGGCTCAAGGAAGCTCGAGGCACTGAATTGGCTCTCTGGGATCACCTGCCTTTCAAGACTGGGGTTTTCTGCACAGGTGGAACGCTCAAGCAGGGTTGGCATTTCAGGACCTTGGATAGCTCCAACGTGGTTGCAGGGATGTGGGACCTGTGGCTTTCTGAATGTTGGGAGTTTGACTTCCATCAGCCACAACCAGCCTGGCTAATGGTCAGGGAGGATGGGGTCTGCATTCCAGCAACTTCTGGAAGGGTATGGGGCATCTGGCCTACAGTTTGACAGGTGACCCCAGTGGCACAGGCAGCAGGGAATCCAACCTAATAAACCGAATGATGGTGAGAGTGCTAGAGGGACCTTTACTGGAAACCACAAGGCCCATTTCCTGACTCGCCCCAATCTTAGCCAAATGATTCCCTGCCCAGTAATGATGGGGTCTGCCAATAAATGGACTTGAAGTCTCTCTGCCCTTCCAGTATTTGAAATGCTTGTCTTGATTTGAGTCTAGGGGATGGTCTACACTACAGTTCTCTAGGGTTCTCTCCCATCCCTACCTCGAGATGCTAGGGATTGAACATGGAACCTTTTGCATGCAAAGCAAATACCCTACTCCTGAGCTGTGCTTTATATAGTGGGTGGACTTTTGCATGGCGATCTTTAAAGGGGGAGCCTATACAGTGGTGCAGTTAAGTAATATTTGACTCTGGACTTAATGGTCACACACCCCTCCCCTCCCTCGCTCGGATGATAGTATGTCTTATTTCACTGCTTTCCAAATGTGATGTCAGGATGCTGTCAGTGGCTCCCGGCTGGTTGCCCAGGAAGGTATAAAGACAAGGAAAAGTTTCTTAAAGTCCTTTTTTATTTCAGTCTTTACAGAGAGAGGCTATAGAACATGGGTAGGCAAACTAAGGCCCGGGTCCCGGATCTGGCCCAGTCGCCTTCTAAATCCGGCCTGCAGACGGTCCAGGAATCAGCATGTTTTTACATGAGTAGAATGTGCCCTTTTATTTAAAATGCATCTCTGGGTTATTTCTGGGGCCTGCCTGCTGTTTTTACATGAGTAGAATGTGTGCTTTTATTTAAAATGCATCTCTGGGTTATTTCTGGGGTCTGCCTGCTGTTTTTACATGAGTAGAATGTGTGCTTTTATTTAAAATGTATCTCTGGGTTATTTTTGGGCATAGGAATTCATTCATTTTCTTTTTTAAAAAATATAGTCCAGCCCCCCACAAGGTCTGAGGGACAGTGGACCGGCCCCCTGCTGAAAAAGTTTGCTGACCTCTGCTATAGAACCCAGCCTCTTGGATAATGGTATTGTCCTGAGTGAATCTCCACCCCTTCGTCTCTCCCACTTCCTCATTCATCATCATTACCTCCTTGACGGGTGCTGCTAAGTGCCCTCTGTCTTCGAGCTCCTTGCTCTCCTACTTTTAGGAGGTGGTGGGTCTGGAATGCTTTCTAATGACAGCGTGCCAGTCAGCTGTCACTCCATTTCTCCCTCTTCCTCCTCCTCTCCCATTATTTCCCAACTTTTCCCCTCACCTGCCTCTGAGCTGTAACCTCTCACAAACCCCTGTTGCAAATCTATACTGTCTCCCTCTTCCTCCTCTCTGGAAGGGTCAGGATGGGGAGGCGGTCTCCACCATTCCACCTCCTCTTCTGCCTAGTCCATGACATGTGACTAGCCAACCTTGCTGGGGGACCTCCTGCACATTCTGCTGAGTGGGGCCCTGGTCACCTCCGCCAAAGTCCTTCCCAGATGGCACCACCAGTCCTATGGGCGTGCTGTGTAAAATTCAACCAGATGGGCACAGGAGGTCACGCCCCTGCTGGACCCAGCTTCAGATCCCTGCTGCTGCAAAGCTCATTGGGTGAAGTGGGGTTTAGCCTCTCTCCTTCTCCCTGCCATACCTGTACCTACCTCACAGGGCTGCTGTAATGAGAATGAGAAATGAGAAAGTATGGAAAAGAGCACAGCAGAGGTTATATTTTCTGAGAATCCTCAGGAAAAATAATCTCTCAAAGGACCTGTTGATGGCATTTTACCATTGTACTGTTGAGAGTGTATTAACTTATGGTCTGTGTGTGTGGTTTGGGAGCTGAACGGTCAGGGAAAAAACAAAGCTGTCTAAGGTTGTAAAGACTGCGGAGAGAATAACTGGGTGCACTCTTCCCACCTTGGATCAAATCTATGCTTCCAGGTGTAATAAGAAAGCTGCAGAGATAGCGCAGGATAGTGCACACCCTGGAAATGATCGCTTTCAGCTTCTGCCTTCTGGAAGAAGGTACAAGATTATAAAGACTAGGACTAGCCACCTGAGAAACAGTTTCTATCCAAATGTGATTTTGGTTTTAAATGCAGTGTAAGGTAGTCTCTATGTGAGTATATTGTATTCAATTATGGGGTATCAGAGTTTTTAGGGGCTAGCCAGGCTGGGATAGTTGGGATAGCAGGCTTGTTGGTTTTTGAATGTCTGATGTAGATTTTTTCAATTTTGCTGTTCTGTATGGGACAATGACAATGACGATTATCGTATCGTATCATATCATATTGTATCGTATTGCCTGTGCCACCTTTGAGAAGAGAACCGGGAAGGGGAGGGGTGGTGGTGGTGGAGTGGGTCGCAGGTAGAGACAGGGGAGCAAACTCACCTTGACGGTCTACCGTGTGCTGGGGGTGGGCATGGTACAGCGTCTGCTGGCTCTGTCGGATGGCAGCCGTCAGCGGGAGGTCGGCCTGCATCACCCATTCCTGATTTCCATTGAGCACCGTCTCCCCGGGCATGGCTAAAGAATGCCGCTTGGGTACATCCTTGGTCAGCGTTGCTAAGGACTGTTTTGCCTGAGAGAAGCAGCAGGAGACACACAGGGTTGCTGTCAGTGCTTAGCCCCAATTCAGGGGTAAACCCATTGCAGTCTACGGGAAGTGAGCCAGCAGTAAATCACAGAAAGTAAGTTGAGTTAACTCTTTATTAGCAAAAACAGGATCAGCACAGGAGTGTCAGGCCTAATGAACACAGCAACTCATATTTGACATATTTTGTCCCTGCAAAGCAGTTGCTGAGACTGAAGGTCCCTACCTTCTCACAGCTGCCTAAGTCCTCTCCTCTTTAGGGTTTTTCCTAAGCAATCTGAGATGGTGCCTGCATGAAGCTAACTTCTCCTCTGCCCTCTTCATCTCTCTCCTGGTTCTGGGAGACCAGCAGGAGGGGGAGACACCAGTGACTCTTCACTAGCCTGATACATCTCTGCTTCCTGCCTCCCTCACCTGCTTCAGCTTCAGCTTCCATTCCTGGACTTCTCCAACATCACCTCTTCTCAGTCTTCTCTCGCTGCCCACGACCAATCCCCTGGCTCTGAGCTTCTTCCCTTGGGGGTTCCCCAGCTGGTTCCTCCCACCATTCCTCTGTGTCCAACCAGTCCCTGACGCTAACCTAGGTGTTTCATTCATTTCAGTGGGGCTTCTCAGAGCACAGCTGAGGGTACACTCAGGTGTGGGCAATACTGCGTTAGTTTTCCTGACTGTGATTCTAGTGCTTCTGTTCTGTTTTTTAATATTCCTTTTGCACTGCGGTACCTGTTGTGATATGAAACTGTGGCTGTTGAACCGATACACCGGCACGTTGTGCTACATTTCATTCACACCAGTGGGTGTGGTGTGACACAACAACAAATGTCATTGGACATTGTTGCTGCTCCCTCACTCTTTCTGTCCGCCTTGCTCCAATTCCTCCATGAAAACGGCAGGAAAAAACTGTATATGCTTGCATCACTTATTCCTGTGATTTTCTGGGTTAAGGGAACTGTAAATGGATTATTTCTGGAATTAAATAACACAGGAATGAATGCTAAGCATGCGCCATGTTCCATTAGTTTTCCGAAAGTGGCTTTTATTGCCATGTAAAAGCTCTGATATAATGCATAAATTAACAGGGAAACATCGGGGAAATGGAATAAACCACTGTGTGAATGCAAAGTGGGCTCATTGACACTTACTGTTCCTCTGCTCTTTCCAGACATGGTCAACACTTTAAAGCTCCATGTCCAAACAACCTTTTCCTCCCCTTTTCTCCAGAGCTTTCTCTGTGAAATCTCATTCTTTAAAGCTCAATCAGAGCAAACAACAGCTACCGGAAAACTTGAATTGACATATGCTCTAAGTGAGCGCTAAAGAGCAGGTTTTCACAGGGAAATCTCAAGGGCAAACGATGATGATATTGCTCAGACATTGAGCTTTTAAGCACAGACCTGGAAAGAGTGGGGTAAAAAGTGTGGATAAGCCCTTAGTTGGAGGTCTCTTACACATAAACCCTTCCCTCCCAATGGACTTCTCTCGCGTCTGGGGTGCCAGCTACTGTTTGCACCAAATATTACTGGGCACCCCCCCAAACCATCAGTATTTGTAGGGCGGTGGTGTGTGCTCAAGCACAGAGTGGAACTTTAAGGCTTGCACAATTAAAGTGGACTGAAGTGCTCTGTCACCCGTGCACAAGAAAGCCACTTTAAAAAAAGAAATGGTTAGAAAATGCATTGGAAAGTGCAGAGGGAATGTATGTAACAGGAAAACATTCAAACACTGTGTAAGCCAGGCTTCCTCAACCTCAGCCCTCCAAATGTTTTGAGACTACAATTCCCATCACCCCTGACCACTGGTCCTGCTAGCTAGGGATCATGGGAGTTGTAGGCCAAAAAACATCTGGAGGGCCGAGGTTGAGGAAGCCTGGCGTAAGGGAATCGGGATGAGTACAAGATGAATGCTCAGTGTTGTATAACTGCCCCGTAAACAAATCAGAATGGATACTCAATGAAGACAGGGCAGATGGCCCCTCCAGACTGAGCACTCACCCTTATTTGCTGGCACAAAGTTTATGCAGAGGGTAATAATAATTTATAATAATTTATTATTTATACCCCACCCATCTGGCTGGGTTTCCCCAGATGGTAGATGGATCTGTGTCGTCTCCTGACGAAAACTGCCAACGTGATGGATGCCGAGTGTGACAAATAGTTAGCGTGTGCTTTCTCACATGGAGTATGGGAGCTGGGAAGGGTGACAACATTGTCTGGCTGGGAACAAGAAATGTGGAGTTTGGGGGGGAAAGCCCTCTGGAGAGACCTTGAAGGCCTGCGGGCGCAGGGACACTCACCATGGCTAGCTCAGCTTCCAGTTCCTTCATTCGGTTGTCTTTCAGGTCCAGCTGCGACCGAAGAGCACTGGCGTGGTCCGTGGCGTCTTTGGCTTGCCGGCGTAACTCCCACTTCTCCCGCTCCAGCAGATCTTTCTCTTTCGCAAGAGCTTTGACCGCATCTTCGCTTTCCTGAGGTTGGGGTGAGAGTCAGAATACGGACGCAAAGCAGGGAGGCTGGGTGGCTGTTAAGCTGCTTTCCTACCCTCCTCCCATCTCTGATCTCCTCCCCATCCTTATCAACCTGGGGGGGGGGGGAGTCAGTGGGCACATTCAACATGTTGAGGAAGGCGCAAAATGGCTGTGGGAGGGTGTGTGGCAAGTGGCAGCCACATCAACAAGAACAAAAAAAGAGGCAGGGCCACAAAAAAGTACAGGCATGACACCTATCAGTTGCCCCATGGATGAGGAAAAAAAGTACAGTGGTACCTCAGGTTAAGAACTTAATTCGTTCTGGAGGTCCGATCTTAACCTGAAACTGTTCTTAACCTGAGGTACCACTTTAGCTAATGGGGCCTCCCGCTGCCGCCACGCCACAGGTGCACGATTTCTGTTCTCATCCTGAAGTAAAGTTCTTAACCCGAGGTACTATTTCTGGGTTAGCAGAATCTGTAACCTGAAGTGTCTGTAACCCGAGGTACCACTGTACATCTATTGTGCTCAATCACAGAGATATGCTCTTGTAGCCTCTCCAGACTGGGTGTGAAGGTGAATGTCTAATCCTGGCATCTAATGAAATTTGGGCATGTTTTAAGAGAGAGCACTCAATGTAGAAGAGGCTGAGCCAGGAAGAGCAACCAGTCTCTTTTAAATTGTGGATTTTTGAGGGCATATTTATTCCATTCTCCTTTTTCTGGTGCCAGAGGAGGTTCTGGTAGGCAGACTTCTGCCTGGTTGCCACATTGGAGACCCCTGCCATAACATCAGCAACTGTGATTAGTAATTACAGTTAGTAATTAGCATTAGTATGAGTATTAGTACTCATACATTGTAAAATGTTTCTCCCACCCCTCCCTTCTCCCTGTGCCCCTTCCCCTTCTCTATTGAATTTATGATGAGCTTTTAATTTAAAAGTTGCTAATAAAAATAAAAGTACGTAATAAAAATTAAAATGTTTAATATTTTACAGATGATTCATTACTTTGAGTTATTTCTTTATACTGTATTTGCACAAAATTGCCATTTTGAACTGCTTTCATTGGCTGTTTCCCAAGGTACTAAACGCAGGGACAAGGGAAGGCAAAGAGGGCAGGAAGATAAAGGAGGGACTGGTGGTGGTTAAGAAAAGGTGAAGAAATGACTTTTCTTTGTGTGATAGTTTCCCTGTAAAGTGGGCGGGGAAGTGGTGGTTTAAAACAATGGCAGAAGTCTGAGTAAAGCAGGGGTGGTAGGACACTGAGAAGAAAATTGCAGTTTTAAACAATGGCAGAGGTTTGAATAAAACAGGGATGGATATTCCTAAAGTTTTAAGGAAGAGAAATAGCAAAGATAGTTACGACACAAAAATGAGCACTCAAAAGCTACCACCAGATCTTTCTCCAACTCCTTTTTCACTGTACTCAAACCGTGTTTTAAATTGCCACTTCCCCCTCAGTATCTCACCACCTGTTTTACTCAAACTTCTGCTGTTGATTAAAAACATTTTCTCCCCTCAAACCTTGTTTTAAATTGCCACTTTCCCGTCAGTGTCTTTCCATCTCTCAAACTTCTGCCATCGATTAAAACCACCACTTCCTCCCCTCTCAGTGTTTCTCCACCACTGCTTTGCTCAAACTTCTGCTGTTGTTTAAAACAGCCACTTCTCCCCCTTTCAGTCTCCCTCCTTTCTTGCTGTATTCAAACCTCTTGCTCTTCCATTCCTCAGCTGCCTCATATGAAAGAGGATGTGGAAACCTCAAATATCCCTGCAGCTGGAGTGTGTGAAGATATCCCCACCGTTCCTTTCTTCCCTCCCCAACTCCCTTGTAAAAAGCAAGCCCCAGCACTGGGCAAAGATGCACCTGTGGCTGGTTGGTGGGCAGAGGTGGGCTCAGCTTGCCAGGGACATTCTTGATGTGTCTCCCCTCCCACATCTAGGCCCAGTATGGGGTGAAGGAGATGCCACTGGCCAGCAGTGGTAGCTGCCACCTGAGCATGCGGTATAATTCCGATACTCCTTCTTTCCCTTTCCAACTCACCCCGCCCCCCAAAGTAAGCCCCTGTACGGGACAAAAGAGGTTCAATGCCTGGAACTTCTGCCTAAAACCCTGGAGAGGTGCTGCCAGTTAGGGTAGACAACGCTGAGAAGATGACAGCCACCTGTGAAAGACAGGTGAACAAGCCAAAGAGCTAAAAATAAGATAGAACATCCAGTGACTTCAATTGCACTGGCTGCTTATCTGATTCTGGGCTCAATTCAAAGGACTGGTTATTATCACTCTTTATTGCCCTAAAACAGGAGTGGAAAACCTCAGGCCCATCAGCCAAATGTTGGCCTCCAGACTGCTCCATCCGGCCCTTGGGACTTTCCTCAGACCATCAACGGGCCCATTCTACACAAGCATCCTTTTCCACGGCCAACACTCTGGCCAATGTCAAATCTCCCCCACCACCCAGGCATCCATCCTTACTTTTCTGTGCTGCTCGTAGTTCCTGATGAAGTCCCGTAACTGCTCTTCCCGGCTTTCCAGGGTGGCGTAGAGCTGCTGCATCTGACTCACCAGGTCGGTCTTCTCCCCCTTCAAACGCTTCCGATCAGCTTTCATGGCTGGAAGAGACAGGTGGGTGGTTTTGAGAACTACCAGGTGGGAGACATGGGAAGAACTCACAGGATCATAGAATTGGAGAGGTGGAAGGGACCCCAAGGGTCATCCAGTCCAACCTCCTGCAATGCAGGAATCACAGCTAAAGAATCTCTGACAGATGGCCATCCAACCTCTGCTTGAAAACTCCCAAGGAAGGAGAGTCCAACACGTTCCACTGCTGAATGGTTCTTACCACCAGAAAGTTCCTGTTCCTCCTCCTCCTCCTCCTCCTCCTCCTCCTCCTCTTCTATTTATTTCTAGCCTGCTTTTCCCCCCACCCAAATTAGGACATCCTAATGTTTAGTTGCAATCTCCTCAGGTTGCTTTGTCATTGTTGTTTAAAAGCAACTGGAAAGCATCTTTGCAATTTGCAATCACAGGTTTGAAAGGCACCCCAGAGATAAATACATCACTCACACTGATGTTTTGACTGAAGAAGGAGAGGGGTTGTATCCAAGTAAGTTCTACTCGGAGAAAACCCACCAAAATGAATGCACCTAAGTTTGTCCTTTCCATTAACTCCAGTAGGCCTTCTCTGATACAACCCAATATCCTTGGAATATAAAGCAGCCAGTCGTAACGGCCGCCTCCCCTGCCATCCCACCTACAAGTTTGCCACTGTTCAATCTCGCCGAACAGAAATAAATAGCTCGAAACCACAAATGCACATGAGCGATTGAGCAACGCACTGCCTCGGACCCCTGATGTGAGTGTACACATCAATGTGACATCCTGTGTGACGTTCCACTCATGCACGTGCAACCTTGTGTGCACGAAAAAAGCAGACCTGAGGCAGTCGTACTCGCTGGGGACTCCAAGTTGACTTCTGCACGGTGTCTTACTGTGAAAGCAATGCGTCTTTAAAACACTGAATGAAAAGGAACCTCTGTGCAATAGACCTGTATAATCCCATTAAGATCGCTTTGGAGTGGGGAGTTCTGGGTAGTGTGTTTAAAAAAGAATCAACACACTTGAGTGAATGGGGGAAGTTGCAGGAATAAAAGATGCAAAGAGTCAGAGGAAGAGCCAGGGAAAGGCGGTAGTATCTGTTTGGCATGCAAAAGGTCCCCAATAGCATCTTTGGGTAGGGCTGAGAGAGACCCCTGAGCCTCAAACCCTGGAGAGCTGCTGCCAGAGTGTGTCTTCCTATGGATTGAGCATTCAGCCTGATTTGCTTGCACAAAGCTCACACAGCGGTCAGACGAGGCCTGGCTCTCATTGAGTATTTCTCCTGATTGTCTACGGGACAGTTACACCACAATGAGCATTCATCTTGCACTCATTCCCTTGCAGGGGGTTTGCACAACTTCCCGTTAATCCTTCACTTGCTATACTTTTCAGTGCATTCCCGGGTGCATTTCCAAACCTCATAAAGCCCTTTTGTTTTTTGTTTAGAAACAGTAGATTTGTTGTGCTTTGACTCACTTTTCATTGTGCAGATCTAAAGTTCCCGTACACGCTAGAATCCCTCTTGCAGATCAGCAAGAGTCAGTGTAGAGTGTAGCGTCAGTGATCTGACTCAGTATAAGGCAACTTCCTATTCAAATCAGCTCTTCAATCAGAAACATGAGGACTAGAATCTTATTTTATTTTTAACAGAAGGGCTATAGCTCAAGAACAGAGCACCTGCGCTGCCTGCGTAAGGTCCAAGGTTCAATGCCTGACATCTCCAGGTAGGGTTGGGACAGACCCCTGCCCCATCATCCCTGACCACTGGTCCTTCTAGCTAGGGATGTTGGGAGTTGTAGTCCAAAACCAGCTGGAGACCCAAGTTTGGGAAACCCTGGTGTAGACAATAGTGAGCTACGTGGACCAGTGGTCTGTCTTGTATCTTATGCAACGGAAAGCTGTTCTGATATGTGTGATGCTGCCACTCTGGAATTAATCCAAGGCAGTCTTCTTATTAAACCAGAATTCAGGAGGAGAGCCATGCAGGGTGGAGCAATGAAGAGAGGAATAAAGGAACAGAGGGAGAGAGCAAAATCCTCTTATCTTTTGCCATAAGTCTGGGAACAGTTTAAGAGGCACTGCTGAATGGGGCTCCCCACCCCAATTTTCCTTTGCAAGGACTCCTTGCTGCAGATGCCTGAAAACAGCAGTCTGTCCTCCTCTTTTCCCCCCTTCCCATAATTATATGCCTTCTAGAGTTCCCTCCACACAGAACAGCTTAAAAGGACGGTTTCGTGATGAGTCAAGCTTGGCCTTTGAACCCGGCCGCTGTTTCAAAGTGCCTGGGCACTGCGTCCGAGGGTCACCTGAGATTATGCAGAGCGCAAGGCAAAGGATGTCAAGGACATCGTTTCCCCATGCCTCCTCTAAAGTAGTGTGAGCCGGGTGTGCGCATGCTAAAGTTGGAAGCGAGGGGATAGGGAGCTATTGTTGAGTTAGGAGAAGGGCAGGAAAGAAGAAAAAAAGTGGACCAATTTCAACTGCGATAATTTCCCCCTTGGCACGCTGGAAGTTGGGCCTGCCCAAGGAAATCGATCGGCTGTAGAATGATAGCTTTAGATGGCGTATAAATAGATTGGATAAACGCATGGGGGTGTCTATTTGCTATTTATGTATTGTCTTTCTTCCAGGGAGCTGGGGGCGGTGGTGAAGGAGGTGGTCATAACACCCCAACCCTTGCAGCCCACAGCACCAGAGTGACCCCCCTGCACCGGAGCCAAGCAGGGCTGTGCTGCGCCACCTGTTCACCTGCCCGCCCGGCTGATGATGCACTTGGCAGGGGCCGCTATGCAGGCATCCCAGCCCAGTGCGCCTCCCCATGGACATTGTTTTCTCTGATGCATGGGAGAGAAGCACCGGGCTGCCCTGTGCTGGGCTTTGAGCCCCCTCAAAAATCCGCACCCACGTCTTAGCCCCTCAGGCACCCCCCAACGATACGCTCCGGCAGCCCTGTTTCTTGGAACTTAACGTTGTTTGTTCTTACTGTCCCAGAAAGCTCCAGTCAATTCCTTCTGGTGCCAGGCCCCTGCGTCAGTGTGCCACTCATGCCCAGGAAATACTAAAACAAAACAAAGCAACCCGCCTATCTTAAGCCAAGTCTCTTCCCCTAAGCAGCGCCCATTACTGGCAAACCTCGCATTCGAGGACCATCTCCAAAGCATTCAGCTGCTTTGAATTCAAACCACGGAGCTGCTACCTGACATTATATTATTTATGAGCACTAAGGAGGAGGGAGAATGTCTCCCCAAGCTGCTTTGGAAGACATTTGCCCCAAGCAATTTATGGGTTGGGTACAGGAACGCAGGAAGCTGACTTAAGCCAAGTCAAGTCGTTGGTCCCATTTAGCTGTTTGGTCCACGCTGATTGCCCCAGATACAATCCCCGGCATCTTCAGGTAGGACTGGGAGGAAGCCCAGTTCTAAACTTTGGAAACTTGCTTTCAGCCAGTGTAGACAGTACTGAGCTAGATGGACCAGCTGTCAGATTCAGTATACAGCAGCTCCCTATGTTCCTAGTGGTAGGGAGGTGGGCAGGTGAGCGAAGTGTTCCACAGCTGAGGACCTAAGGTGGATGTAGCATAGGTTCCTCTTGCCTCAGGTGACTAGCAACAGAGGATGCCATTGGAGCAAGACTTTATGACACTCCTACCCCTGGTTTTCCAGCATTTCACTATATGCTGCATATAGTAAGATAGCCAGCAGTAAACCTAGGCATCTGGGGAAAGGGCTGTGTGGCTCAGTGGGGCTGCTTGATTGTGTGTGTGTGTGTGTGAACTAATCAAAGCAGTTTTTAAAAATGACAAAACAATATCAGTTTTTAAAAGGGTAAAAACAGCTATTTAAACAAAAAAAAAATTAAAACAGACGGTAAGCTAAAAGCAAATCAAAACACATCTCAGCAGTCTACATGTCTGGGTGAGGGTGCCTAAACAAAATGCTTTTAGAAGGTGCTGAAAAGAGTACAGTCATACCTTGGTTTTCAAACAGCCTAGTTCTCAAATGTTTTGGGTCCCGAATGATCGAAACCCGGAAGTGACTGTTCTGGTTTCTAAACGTTCTTTTGGAAGCCGAATATCTGACGGGGCTTCCGATTGGCTGCAGGACCTTCCTGCAGCCAATCAGAAGCCACGCTTTGGAAGTCGAATGCTTTGGGAGTCGAACAGACTTCCGGAACGGATTCCGTTTGACTTCCCAGGTATGACTGTACAGGGATCTTCTTGGAGCTTCTCTGGTCTTCTGTTTCCCTCACTTCCCACCTTTTCCACTTTCCTTCTCCTGTGGCGTTCCTTGTCCAGAACTCTCTGGCTCTGCAACCAGAACACCCAAATCCCATAAACCAAGCAAACAGTTCAGATCTAGTCACTTCGTGTATGTTTATCCCACTGGTTTATTCCCCTCGCATTGCCTCGGCTTTCTGCCCGCATCTCTTTTCTTTGAAAGCAGGAATGTGGACCCGCCAGCGACGTTTGCTTGCAAAAACAGTTGAGAAAATATCGTCCGGTATCCATGGCAACCGGCAATCTGGCCTAACTTTCCCAGGCACCCGTTATCTCTCTCCTTACATATTTTGATGGTATGCCAGTGCATGACCACAGGGACACACATACAAACACGCCGAGCTGCCTTCGTCGTTTATACGCACCCAGAGATGCTTCTGTCCGAAGCAATTCCCTGCTGCTGTGATCTGGCTCAAGTCCTCAGCCATCTTTTGTTAACTGGGTGGAATTAGCTTGTCTTCCACACTCAGTGCCATTTAATTAGGTCCCTTGTCAATTTCCATAAAGGAAAAAAAAATCTCCCACACAGAGAGACGCTCCACGTTTCAAGTGGGCTGACGTTTCTTTGCAGAGGTGCGGAATTTATTCCGCGGATCCTCCGTCAATGAAGGAAACAGACCCGGGCAAAACTGACTTAACCCTGGTTGTGGACCCCCTACTGTCTAGCACCCCGCGAAGACAGCCAAAGTGAGCAAGCTTTCAAGAGTAGCTTTGACTGGAGAGAAGCCAATTAGTGCCGGCTGGCTGTTAGGCTGATGCTCTTTTGTTGACGTGGCCCGGGGGCTCGGTTTGATTGCAGAGCTGGGGAAGGTGTAGGGGCAGGATCAAGGAGTGACGGCCGAGGCTCTCTGCAAGGAAAGGCTATGTGCCTGGATCTTTGTAGTTTAGAAAAAGAAGAGTTGACTTAGAGGTTTCGATAGCGATAAGAATGGAGAGAGGGCTCCTCCAGCTGACCTTTTTATTGAGCCTTCCTTCTGATTTGCTTGCACAAAGCTTACGCAGAGGTTGGATTATAATACAGTCTTCATCCAGCATCCTTTCTGATCTGTTTGCAGGGAACTTAAGCATCGCTCCTGGTTTGCTTTCAGGACGTTTACACATCTTAACATTAATTATCCAGGCATTCCACACTTTTCAACGCATTTCCCCATCAATTTCCTAAATGCAAAAAGTCTGTTTCTCTCTCTTTTTTATTTTTGAGCGGATCTGCTGCACTAGGGTGAAAGAGCGCTTTAATCCGCTTTCAATTGTTCAAACCTAAATTTCTCTGTCTGCCTTTGAATCCGTTCCACGCAATACCAGACCCTCCAAATGTCCCTATTTTCCAGGGACAGTCCTGGATTTACAGAAGTCATCCAGGTTCCTGGATTTGATCCTGGAATGTCCCGCTTTTTCCTTAGGACATCCCTGGTTTCATCGGAGTTATGCGACCCCCGAGCCAAGGAGATAAGTAACTATACAACCTTTAGAAGACATCTGAAGGCAGCCCGAAGTAGGGGAGTTTTTTAATGCTTAATATTTTATTATTATTATTAGTTGGAAGCTGCCCTGAGTGGCTGCGGCAACCCAGTCAGATGGGTGGGCTTGAATAATAATGATAGCATAGAACACCCCTATTTTCTTTGGATAAATGTTGGAGGGTATGCAATACTGATGCTTGTCTTGTTGAGAAGACATCCTGCAATGGTTGCTGAAGACATCCAGCCTCTGAGATCACAGACACAATGCTTAAAGGGGTCTGAAAGTGCATCGCCTTAGTTCTGTACCAGGGAGTAGGGAGCCTTTTTCATCCCAGGGGACAACCATTTGTCCCAAGGGACAACCTTTCAGAGGCGAAATGCCTGGGCAGAGCAATAAATGTGAAATTTACTTTTCTACAAACATGTATCCCTCTCTGTCCTCCACCAGGGCAAGCAAGGTGCATTATCAGAGCCCAAGGACACATTCCAGCCAGGCAGAAAATACTCAAGGAGGGTGCAAGTCAGGCAAAAGATGTGGCTCTGGACAGTGTGGGAGAGTCCTGAGAGACAGCTCAAAAGTCCATGAGGACCACATTTGCCCTCCTGGATCTGAGGCGACACACCTGCTTTTTTTGTCCCAAGGAGAGCTCCGTGAAACCATTTCTGCAAGGTTTTGGGATGGTTCCATTTGGACAGGGAAAAAGTGGCTGTGGAAGGCACCCACTGGCTAGAACCTGTGACATCACTAACCCCAAACCCCAGAGCAGTCTTGGAAGTGCTCTGTGGATTAACATATGAATACCTGAATGTATACATATTGGTTTGGACTAGTAAAACAGGAAAAGGAGCAGGAGCCATTTCTGAATGGGTATTTAACTTACTGCTAGGTATGAATGTAAGGCGATAGCAGAACTGGGTGAAAAGCCCAATTCAAACAAAACTGGACGGAGCAAAGGCTTGACACAATATCAAGGCAGCTTCCTGGGCTCCTATACTTTAAGGCTTTCCTTCCAACAGGAATCAGAACAAATGAGAAACTGAGGAATGCCACAGCAGCACAGAGGAGGAAAGTTTACTGCACAGGGATGCCTGGAAACAGTCCCAGCCTTGGCAGTGCCTGGCATGCAAATTGAAGATTTATAGATGAGTTAAGTTGCCATTTTTGCTCCACATCCCAACACACCTCAGTGCAGCTATGAAGCACTTGTGAGGGCTGGGAAGGGGGGGTGGAGAAAGGGGAAGGGGTGGTGTTGGTGTTTATTTCCAAACCACCTGCAACGTCTGAAGTGTTAGCAGGTCCCACGAGGGAGAACATAGCCACGGTTGCCATGGAAACGGCTGCGAAGGAATCCACGTGCCCAACACAGTCAGATCAATTTCATCTTCGCCTCTCGGAGGGGGAGAGAAGCCACACAAGAATATCATAAAAGGGAAGGAGCATAATGGGATGTAAGCAACCAGGAGTTGCCCCCGTTTGGTCTCTTGGGGGCGGGGGCAGGAAGAGAAAGCACCACAATTTGATCTTTCTACTGGATTCTGCATTGGTAAGGAATCTCTGATTGGTGGAAACTGGTGCCCGCTAGGACAGCCGGGAAAGCAGGGAAGCCAAAATGTAGGCGGGGCCAGAGCCAATGGCTGGAGGGACTGCAGCCAATGGCAGGCAGGGACAACTAATTCTAGTTCTGTTTCCCCCTCCCCTCTCTGAGTTTGAGGAGGGCAAATTGGAGACTAGGGAGGAGGAGGAGGCGGAGGGTGACAGGTAAGCCCATATTGAGATTGGTGGAGCAGAGCCCCCTTTGCCCTAATACACCAACTTCTGCTGGAAGCTCCTAGAATTGTGGAGTCCATTAAAAGAGGGTCTAGCCTTCCAAGGGAGACCGTTCCACTCCGGAACAGCCCCTACTGTCAGAAAGTTTTTCCTAATATGTAGCTGGAATCTCCTTTCCTGTCACTGGACTCCATTGGTTCTACCCTCTGGAGAAACAGAAAACAAGCTAGCTTGCTCCATCATCCATGGGACAGCCCTTCAGATATTTGAAGGTGATTCTCAGATCACCTCTCAATCATCTTTTCTCCAGGCTAAACACACCCAACTCCCTCAACCATTCCTGAAAAGACTTGGGTCTCCAGGCTCTTGATCATCTTGGTCGCCCTCCTCTGCACACCTTCCAGTTCCATACAACACCCTCTATGTTTATAGCAACAAGTCATAAGAGAGTTTGACGTCCTCTCTGTGGTATTCAGTCCAAATCCAGTTTGATGAGTGGAGGGAGAGAGGATGATTGAATACTGAGAGGACGGAGAAGCAAATGGCAGCAGGAAATTGCAAGTGTTCCCGCAGATGAAGGTAGAGATGGGGAATCTGTGGGCCTCCAGATATTGCTGGACTACAACTCCCATCATGCCTGACTATTGGCTACATTGGCTGGATCTGATGGAAGTTGGAGTCCAACAGGATCTGTGGAGTCACAAGTTGCCCTCCCTTGCTTTAACTCCTTAAAGGTACCCCTGACCAACAGGTCCAGTCGTGACCGACTCTGGGGTTGCACGCTCATCTCACTCAAGAGGCCGGGAGCCGGCGCTTGTCCGAAGACAGCTTCTGGGTCACGTGGCCAGCGTGACTAAGCCACGGCTGGCGACCCAGCACCAGCGCAGCACACGGAAACGCCGTTTAGCTTCCCGCTGGAGAGCGGTTCCTATTTATCTACTCGCACTTTAAGGTGCTTTCGAACTGCTAGGTGGGCAGGAGCTGGGACCGAGCAACGGGAGCTCACCCCGTCGCGGGGATTCGAACCTCCGACCTTTTGATCAGCAAGTCCTAGGCTCTGTGGTTTAACCCACAGCGCCACCCACGTCCCCGCTTTAACTCCTTACTTAGTTCCAATGAGATACTGTCCTCCCTCCCTTCTAACTAGTCTTTAATGCAGTGTGAGTGATCAAGTTCCTGTCCTCATAATTCCTACTTCATTCAGAAAATGAGGCAGAAGGGAAGGAGAACCACTCCACTGGCTGAACTGATGGCATGTTCAATTCCTTCAACTCTTCAACTTTGCGATGACCCAGTAGGGCTTTTCCTATGTTCATATAAAGTTGATTGCAACCCCTCATTGTCTGTTTCCAGCATCATAACTAGAACAGAGGGAGCTGCCTCCTACTGAGTAGACCACTGGTCTATCTAGCCCAGTGTTGTCTACACTGGCTGGCAGTGGTTCTCTAGGGTCTTGGACAGGCTTCCTCAAACTCAGCCCTCCAGATATTTTTGGCCTACAACTCCCATGATCCCTAGCTAGCAGGACCAGTCGTTAGGGATGATGGGAATTGTAGTCTCAAAACATCTGGAGGGCTGAGTTTGAGGAAGCCTGGTCTTGGACATGGTTCTTTCCCCCCAGCAATACCTGGAGATGCCAGGGATTGAACCTGGCACCAGGTGCTCTACCACTGAGCTGCGGTCTCTTCTGTTAAATGTAAAGTAAGGTTCCAGTCCACATGATTCTGAACGAAAAGATGTTAGAATAGGAAAAAAGGAAGCAGCTTTCTACAGAGTCAGACCATTGAGCTATCTAACTCAGTAAAATGCAAGGGAGGTGGGGTACCTTGTTGGAACGACATCCTAGCTGTCATACAGCCTGGGAACTCTTGCTGCTAATCTTGGAATCTTGAACCTTGGCTTTTGCTCTTGGACTTGGAATTCCTGTTGCTTACTCCCTTGTAAAATCACCCAGAATAGAATCTGTGTTTTTTTCCTAGCCACTGAGTCAGTGCCATGAGACTGCTATATTAAAAGTTTGCTTCTTTACTTACAGGTAAATGCCTCTGCGGTCTGCTTTTGGGTGGGAGCCAAAGCCGTTACAAGGTATAAATGTGTGCCAGATTCAGTTACACATGCTTAAAGCAGTGGAATCATAATAAAATCATGAGCTGGCACGAGCTGGTCCGTCTCCCCATCGGAGCTGCATTTGCATCTCAGGCAGAAACATTTAGCCTTTCAAAGCACCACAACATTCCCAGCTGCTTAACTTGTAGACAGAAGGAAACACAATTGTGGGGGCCCTCGTCACATCGCTTTCGAAGTGTGGCTGTTTGCCACAAGGCCGTGTGCGGCAGATTCCCACGAAAGCATTCTCCCACGATACTGGAATGGAAACTGCAACCTGCAATTGGCCGGTGACCACCTGCATCTTGCAGCGATTAACTTGCAGCACCAGCAGTGAAATGCTTATTAAAGATACGCAGCCTCAAGAACGGAAAGTGCCGGGATGTGGTTGTTGTTGTTTTTTAAATTCTTCCTTATTATTAAATGTCGGCTTCTCCACGGGCCAGAGATTTCTTTGGGGTATAAAAAGGACAACATAATAGCAAGGGACATAATGCCATGACACAAAAGAGTACTATTAGGATGTATTAAAATAGCATCTGAAATGTGAAGGGCCAAACAAACAATGCTCCTTAAACATCCGCCAGCTAATGGTTTGTAAGACAGCTTGATTGTCCCCAGATGGCCAAATGCTAAACTGACTGCAGGAGAGTAAGGGCTGGAATGGTCTAGTTTTGAGTTCATTCATCCATGAGGATGGAGGCTTCTCTCCTTCTGTAACGGCAGAGTCCTCTAATGACAGAAGCCCTGAGGAGGAGACGAGGCCGTTCTCTGATCCGTACCACGTGGTGCCACAGTCAGCTGAGCCCACATCATCTTCCTTGTGCCCCAAGAAGACATCTCTGCCAACAGATTCCAATGACTGGTAAGCAGACTCATTGGGGGATTAGAAGAGCCTTGAGGAAGCATCCCCATTGCTTAAAACCCCGGTGCTTAGAAGCCAGCGACTGCAGAAAAAGGCAGCAGACTTTAACAGACTCAGTGCAAAAGGGCTTGACAATGAGGCTGTTAGGTGGATTTGACCAAATCCAAAGAGTGCTCACCAATGGTTCCTTGCCATCCTGGAAAAATGTGACAAGTGGCATGCCACAGGGTTCTCTTCTGGGCCCAGTGTTGTCCAGGCTCTTTATAAATGACTTGGATGAAAGAATTGGGAGGATGCTCATCAAATGTGCAGATGACACCAAGCTGGGAGGGGTAGCTTATACTGCAGAAGACAGAATTGGGATTCAAGATGACCGTTAACAGATGGAGAATTGGGTCCAAATGAACAAAATGAATTCTAATAGGGACAAATGTAAGGTTCTACCCCCTAGGCAGGAATAATCAGATGCACAGATGTAAGACGGGAGACACCTGGCTTGCCAGTAGTACATGTGAAAAGGATATAGGAGTCCTAGTTGACCACAAGCTTAACATTAGTCAAAGGCTAACACAATTCTAGGCTGGATCAACAGAAGTATAGTGACCAGATCTAAGGAAGTAATAGTTCCACTCTACTTTGCCTTAGTCCGACCCTACCTGGAGTACTGTGTCCAGTTCTGAGCACCACAGTTTAAGAAGGATATTGACAAACTAGAGCATGTGCAGAGGAGGGAGACTGAGATGATCAAGGATCTGGTAATCAAGCCTTACGAAGAACAGGTTGAGGGAGTTGGGTATGTGTAGCCTGGAGAAGAGAAGACTGAGAGGTGATATAGGCACCTTCAAATATCTGAAGGGTTGTCACATGGAAGACGGAGCAAGCTTGTATTTTGCTGCTCCAGAGGGTAAGACCCAAAACAATGGATTCAAGTTACAAGGAGATTCTGCTAAAGATGAGGAAGAACTTTCTGATGAGAGCTGTTTGACAGTGGAAAAGACTCCCTTGGATGGTGGCAGGCTCCCCTTCACTGGAGGTTTTTTGACACACAGGTTGGTTGGCCATCTGTCAGGGGTTCTTTATTGTGAGTCCTGAAACCACCACCCAGGTCCCTCTCCAAGGTGCTGATCCTTGCCTTGTCTTCCTTTCTGCCTGGAATGCTGAGACTACTGACCTGCCCCTTGCTTGGACCATCACGTGTTGGTCACTGCAAGAAGAAAATACTGGACTAGTTGGGCCTTTGGTCTGATCCAACAGGGTGCATCTTAAATTAAGAGTTAGAAGAAAAAGCCTTCATGCATCTGGTAAAACGGACTGTGGCCCATGGATGTTTTTGCCATAATGGAGTGCCATCGTCCTCCCCTCCCCTCTTTTCGTTGCAAGTAGCATATCTACCCCTAGGATAGGCCAAATTCATGAAATTTCTCAATCTGTGTTTCACCTCTTGATGGGGACGGAGTCTTGCTAACCTGTCACAAAAGTTGGTCAAGCTCAAATACAAACACGTGCATATACATACATAATACATATACATACACACACATACCGTAAATAGCTTAGGTTTCTTTATTTGAAAAAATCAAGCAATATATATGAGAAAGGTTGTTGATGTGAGCATCCCATGCTCACTCACACCCACACTCTAACAGCATTCATTACCTTATCACTCCGGTGCTTTTATAAAGCTTCAGAACGGAGTTAACAGGAGTTTCAGCTGCCTTCATCTAATTGTATTCATTAGCATGTCTACCTTTCACTTTTTAAGAATGTAAGAATGGGAGTGGAGCAATGAAGAAAGGTTGAAGAAAGGTTGCAGCATTTGGGACTTTGGGGTTTAGAGAAAAGGCAACATGCTAGAAAGAGGAGACATGCTAGAAGTTTATAAAATTCATGGCATGGAGAAAGTGAGTAGGTTTTTCTCCCTCTCTCATAACACTAGGAGGTCCTCTCCTGGGCCACCATGCTCCAAACTTCTTAGTTCTTAAGAACATCCCTGCTGGATCAAGCCAAAGCAACCTGTTCTCACAGTGGCCAACTAGATGTCTCTGAGAGGTCGGACAACCTTCCATTTGTGATTCTCAGCAATTGATATACAGAGGCATTCTGCCCCTGACAGTGCAGGCTAGTAGCTAGTAGCCATAGGTAGGTCATTTCTCAGGAGCTCATCCAACAGATACGGGACTTGTGGAGTCACACTACGTAGTCCCACCACAAGTGCCAATGTACACATCAGCCACACACCCCTGGTCACCTGTTCAGCTGTAATGAGAACGAGCCTTGCATGCTACAGATGAATGTGTATAGAGGTTCTTCACACACCTGGGGATCCTGGCCCTATTAGGGGACTATGTATTTGTATGCAGCTGCCTTGCGTACAAGGTCACCAAATGATGGGTGACGCCTTGACCCAATGCTGAAATATTGTGGCAAATGGAATTCAGTGGCAAATGGAATTCAGCGGCAAATCCTATCCAAGAATCTGATTTTAAATTTATGCAGCATGGCCACTCTGGTTGCAATCCGAAGAGGCTGGAAGAGTGCTGGTTTCAAATCTCACTTCAGCTACAAACTTAATTACGTGGCTGTCAGGGTTGAGCCAGAGGAAGGAGTCTGACATGAACCAGGGTCACAGAGGGCTGCACCTGGGAGTCAGAGCTACGAACAAGAATGGGCAAGCAGCCTGGGACCCCGTTGCGTCTTAGATACAGAATCACAACATCCCAAAGGGCCTCATCCATAGCCTGAAAGAAAGATCCAACAGTGCCCAAATCCACTGCCCAGAGGACAAATCCCACAACACAGGCCACAAACAAGTGCCCCTTGCAAAAACCTCAGGCATTTGCCTGCTGAAGGCTCATGGAAGTGAACCACATGATTTCAGGGGCCAGCTTGTCCCAGGAAGAAGATGCCTTTCCAACTTCAAATCAGCTTTGTCTGGAGCAAAATCTTCAACTCCCATTCTTAGTCAGATACACAACCAGAATACTTTTAGGCAGCTCTGATTTTTCTGGTTCAACCTTTCTCAAGAGACCAAAGACAGGTATCAAAAACAGCTCCCCCCGTCAATGCTTCATTCCTTCTAAGAGCAAATCACTGCAATCTAGGACAGAATCTTGCTCATACGGAATGCTACACAGAAAGCTGCCTTATATTGGGGTCAGACCATTAGTGTATCTAGTGCATTACCGTCTACGCTGAGTTGTAGTAGCTCTCCAGGGTTTCTGGCAAGGAGTCTTCCCCAGTCCTAGCTGGAGATGCCAGGGATTGAACCCGGGGCCTTCTGCATGCTCTGATGCTAAGCTACAGCCCCACCCCCAAAATAGGAAGCTGCTTGATACACTATTAGTTTATCAAGCACAGTATTGTCTACATTGATTAGCAATGGTTCTGTAGGGTCTTTTCCAGCCCTACTTGGAGATGCCAGGGATATGGCAGCAGATGCAGGGCTGTCTTTTTGACTATCTTCCTATATACATAAAAATGTCATGCTGTCGTCATGCTGAAGTTCACGTGGCTGGCAGCAGGTGGCCACACCATTTCCAGTGTGATGACAGAATGGCAAGCAGGCAAGGGAGGGAGGGAGGGAGGGAGGGAGGGAGGGAGGAAGGAAGGAAGGAAGGAAGGAAGGAAGCAGTCCAGGTGAGCTGTTTAAAAGGGGGGGAGGTAAGAAGCAACCTCAATTAAATGCAGCTGCAGAAAATTTTAACAGGGGGAAAGGCACTTCAGAGAGCAGTTTGGCAAACCCCCTGTGTTAAATGTGGCCGCAGCAATGGAGGGAGGGTCTTCAGAGAGAAGTTTGGAGAAATGTTTTCTAACCACCATAGCTTAGTGGCATAGTGTCTGCCTTTCAAGCAGAAGGTTCAAAGTTCAATCCCAGGCATCTCCCACTAGGGCTGGGAGAGACTCCTGCCTGAAATCCTTGCTGGGGCTGATGGGAGTTGTAGTGCAGCAACATTTGGAGGGCATTGACTGAGGAAGGCAGTTCTAGAGCTGCTGGAGAGGGAGAGGAGCCTTGAGTAGCAGCAACCGCAACAATTTGAACCAAGAAAATCCCAGCCCTCCTCCAAAAAGCAAAAATGGAGACAGCGATTTAATGGAGACGTGGATCTGAAAACAAAGACTGTCCCTATTAAACATGAACAGCTGGAGCATTTCATTTTACAGTCCCTGGTAAGCATTAAATCATGTTCAGAAGAGGCTTCCTTTCTTCACATTCTTCCAGGAGTTGCTGTTCCAGCATTAAAAAAAAATATGTTTTTTTTTAGCTACCCGGAGGTATTCTGTACATTGAAAGCACACCACGAACAACACAGGCAGAAATCGTGACGATGCCCCGTAAAAATGACGCACGGCAGTTATCCATAAATGAAACACCTGATTTTAATTAGCTAATTTAAACTCCCAAGAACAACGGAATTGACCTGGGGGAGGGGAATGAAGGAAGGAAAGCAAAGCAAAGAATGGGGGAGGTGGTCGAAAATGGGGAAAAAAAGGCTGATTTACTGGCCTGGGGGAGGTGTGGGGGGATGACGAAGACAGGTTTTTATGTTCTTTTTGTTCCCATGCCTATTTCCTTGCATTATGATGTCATGGGAGGGTGGTAACCTGACGTGAAGTCTTCTTATGCAGATAACAACTATTTGTAGAATCAGAAGGAGAACCCCCACCATTCTCTCCTAAGAAGACCCCTGCCGAATCTGGCAAATCCAGCATCCTGTTGTCACAATGGACACCCAGCACCACTTGTGAACACAAGTAAAGAGAAGCGTGTATGCTTGCACATTGCATTCCATGCTCCGACGGCTTCCAGACTGGACTACTGCAATGCACTCTATGTGGGGCTGCCCTTGAAGTTAAGACCATAAGAACAGCCCATTTGGTCTAGTTCCCAACTAGAGGCCTCAATGAGAAGCCCAAAAGCAGCACTCTCCCCACTTGTGATTGCCATCAGGTGATATTCAGGAGCGAGGCAGTACATAGCCACCATAGTTAGTAGCCAGTGGCAATCTTATCATCCGATACCTTGTCTAACTCTCTTTTACAAGCATCCAAATGGGTGGCCACCTACAGCTTAACTATGCTCTGTCTGAAGAAGTATATCTTTTATCTGTCTTGAACGTTCTAGCATTCAGCTTCACTGGACGCCCGTGAGTTCTCATGACTTGGAAAAATTCAAATTGCCCCAAATGCACCAGCCTGATTACTGGCTGGGGTTTAGATTTCATATGAACCCTGTTTTAAAATAGCAGCAGCAGTTGCCAGTTTTTTTCCAGGTCCAGTTCAAGAAGCTCAGGTAGGCTTTCCCAGATATAGGGAAAGACTGCCTCTTTCCCTATAGACATCTTAGGTGTTAAGGGCAGACGTGGCCCTCTTGGTAATTCTGCCACCCTTGGAAGATTGGTATGTGGTGGCCCAGGAGAGGACATTCCCTTTGGTAGGTAAAGGTAAAGGACCCTTGGATGGTTAAGGGGTTGCGGCGCTCATCTCGCTTTCAGGCCGAGGGAGCTGGAGATTGTCCACAGACAGCTTTCCGGGTCATGTGGCCAGCATGACTAAACCACTTCTGGCACAACAGGACACCATGACTGAAGCCAGAGCATACGGAAATGCCATTTACCTTCCCACCACAGCGGTACCTATTTATCTACTTGCACTGGCATGCTTTCAAACTGCTAGGTTGGCAGGAGCTGGGACAGAGCAACAGGAGCTCACCCCATTGCGTGGATTTGAGCGACCGACCTTCTGACTGGCAAGCCCAAGAGGCTCAGTGGTTTAGACCACAGCGCCACCCAGGTCCCTCCCTTTAGCAGGCCCCAGGTGGCCTCATGGAGGCATGTCTGGTATTCTTTCACACCTCTTTACCCTGTTTTTTTTTTAAGGACCCACCCTGTTCTTTTAATTGCAAACTGTTGTAACTGTATTTAATCCTGTTAACTGGTTTTAATATTGTTGTAACCCGCCCTGGGAAGAACAGGCCGGAAATTCCTACAATAGCAACTGTAATATTCCCCCCCCCCCCCGTTGTGATGAAATGTGCAAAGGAGAACCCAGTAGATGCAGGGAGAGGGTTCTGCAGAAATGACCCTTAATTTTCTCTATAGGAGGTAAAGGGTAAAGGGACCCCTGACCATAAGGGTCCAGTCACGGATGACTCTGGGGTTGCGACGCTCATCTCGCTTTACTGGCCGAGGGAGCCGGGGTACAGCTTCCGGGTCATGTGGCCAGCATGACTAAACTGTTTCTGGTGAACCAGAGCAGCGCACGGTAATGCTGTTTACCTTCCCACCGGAGCGGTACCTATTTATCTACTTGCACTTCGTGTTTTCGAACTGCTAGGTTGGCAGGAGCTGAGACCGAGGAACGGGAGCTCACCTTGTCCCGGGGATTCGAACTGCTGACCTTCTGATCAGCAAGCTCTAGGCTCTGTGGTTTAACCCACAGCGCCACCCGCGTCCCTCTCTATAGGAACATTGACACATAATGGAAGTTGCGGTTCTAGAGACAGCATCCTAAGTACATGCATTCACTGCATTCTGACTTTGCTCTCAAAAATCCTTCTATTGGAAATAAGCAACACAACACAACAGTTCTCTCACCCCGCTCCTGCCCCCTTTTCCTTGTGTTGTCATGCAGAAATACTTTAATCTGATAGAACCATTCAGAAACAAATTTCTTATGCAAATTAACCGAGAACAAGAAGGATCAAACTTGTTAGCTGAGAGGAGTGGAGTGCCAGAGGGCCATGAACCCCAAACAAATCTGTAATGCGCCTTAAAATTATCCACTTCACACAACCTGCTAAACAGCCTGTCAAAAGGCTCTGCTGAGATCTGCTTAGCAATTTAGATCCTGCCTGGATGCAGTGGAGGGGTAGCTTAGCCTGGAATCCTCTTTAACTCAGTTAAATGCTAGCATCTCAACCTATCATCCTTAAGGCAGAAAGGGAAAGTGTGTGGGGGTGGGTGGGAATGAAGCACAGTAGCATGAAAAGCTAATTATAATAATAATAAGAAAAAAAATCTACGTGTGCAACATGACAAAACCTGCGCTTGCCGCAAGCATACAAACCTTGCCAACTTGCAACTTCCCTCCCCTTTTCATATAAATGTAGCTTTATTGATTTCTAATATAGAGCAACAATTACAAAAAAGGGGAAAATATACAAAAACGAAACCCCAACTTACACCCCCTCCCTGGTGGATCAGTCTACTCAGTGCTATTATTCTAGAAAAAGAGGTGCCAGAACTCACCATTAACACCTCCCTTGTTCCCTGAGAGGTGCCTGAACGGAACTCAGTTCTGTAAATTTAATGTTTCAGACTCTTGCAAGGTTAGTAAAAGGTAAAGGGACCCCTGACCATTAGGTCCAGTCATGGCCGACTCTGGGGTTGCGGTGCTCATCTCGCTTTATTGGCCAAGGGAGCCACCATGACTGAGCCCCTTCTGGCGAACCAGAGCAGCACACGGAAACGCTGTTTACCTTCCCACCGGAGCAGTACCTATTTATCTACTTGCACTTTGACGTGCTTTCGAACTGCTAGGTTGGCAGGAGCAGGGACCGAGCAACGGGAGCTCACCCCGTCGCGGGGATTCAAACCGCCAACTTTCTGATCGGCAAGTCCTAGGCTCTGTGGTTTAACCCACAGCGCCACCCGCGTCCCTTATTCAATAGGTATGAATATCCAATTATAAATCAAGATCCGTTTCTTAATCTTGGAAACTTGCCGCTTTCAACAGAAGCCAAAGACTGCACAACGCGGGTTTAGTGGTGCTTCCCTCTTCGTGCCTGCAGCTTGATCCTGTGCTCAGATCTATTAGCCAAACCCGAGGGACAGGAGAGCATGCAAGGGCACCGCCAGTTGCCATGTCCCTCAAGGTAATCCCCTTGAGGTTCCGAGGTCCGAGGAGCCTTTGTGGACCTCTAAAAACCCCACGCCGCTTGAGATTCCCGCAGGGCTATCTCGCGCTTCTTTCCAATGGCCGCGGCTCGCCGGAAGTTGAAATGCGCCCTGCCCCCAGGATGCGCACCACGCCCCCAGGACACGCGGCAGCCCCGTCCCCGCCTGCTCTCCGCCCCCCGGTGCTGGAGCATGAAGCTCTGCCACTGCAAGAAAGAGGCATTTTCAGGGTTGAAGGACATATTCTAGCCAGGCAAGAACACTCAAGGAGGATGCAACTCAGGGCCAGTGAGCGGTATGGTTGGGGAAGACTAGAAGATCACACCTGGGCCCCAGGCCCGATGTTCCCCATATACTAATCTGGGAGCAAATCACATTGAATTCAATTAACTTACTCCCTTGCAGTTGTGCTTAGCTGCATGTATCAATATTATGATGGACTATTTCTTTATGAAATATATATATATAAAATAAAAAACTGTCCAGTAGCACCTTAGAGATCAACTAAGATTGTTCTTGGTATAAGCTTTGCATGCAACAATTTATTTATTTTTATATATATTTTGACTGTGTCAGACCAACACGGCTACCTACCTGAATCTATTTCTTGACAGTCTACCTTTCCATCTTTCATTGCAGATCTGTGTTATGCCCCTTGCGGTCAGTGCACTCTTGGCAACTGCAATACGATTGCATGTTCCTTACCTCTAGGACGGTGTTTCCCAAACTTGGGTCCTAAGCTGCTTTTGGACTACAATTCCCATCATCCCTGGTTACTGGTCTTGCTGGCTAGGGATGATGGGGGTTGTAGTCCAAAAACAGCTGGAGACCCAAGTTTGGAAAACCCTGATCTAGAGGGATCTGATCATGCTCCCTCTTTTCCTTCTTGTGCTAGACCTAAAGATCTAGTTGGAAAAGAGGCATGCCAATATTAAACCAAATCAGAATTGAATCAAAAGTGGGAGAAACGATGGCTGTAAACTTTACCTTGGCACAGGAGGTTTTGAACCCCCTTCCACACATTCCTCTCTGCTGTCAAACGGGAGGCACGATCAGAGTTCAAAGACACATCCCTGGCAGACGTGAAAACATCCAAGGAGGGTGGGGCCAGAGAGGGGTGTGGCCTAGGGAGGGGGTGAGAGTTCTGAGGGCCAGAGAGTGAGAGAGAGGGCCAGAGGGCCACATTTAACTCCTGACCTGGAGGTTCCCAATTGCCGATTCAGAAGGAATACCTGGCAGGTCATATGCAAGACCTTTTGCAAGCTCATGGGTTGGGGAATGAAAGGAAAGGCTGGTGGGGAATTAGGAAATGAGTAGGAGCCCACAATATCCCCAGCAGCAGGCTTTGGGTTCCAGTCTGGCTTCAAATCATATGGAGCTGTTCTTCTCCTCATTTTGGAAAACAGTTCCGTTTGCCAAGCCCAACTACAAATAGGACTGGAGGGGGTTTTGTGCAAGAGGGTGTGTGTGTGTGTGTGTGTGTGTGTGTGCATTCTAGCGAGGGAGTCAAGATGAACTTCCTCCTATATGAATGAGGCCTGCAGCCTATTTTTCAAAAATGTGTTTGTGCGATCCCATTAGAGGTTTCTTCTGCTTCTTCTTTTTTAAGGGACTGCAACCCCCCACTCCACTCTAAGCCATCAAAAACAGCAATTCCCTTACCAATCAATAAGTAATTTATGACTAATACCTGTCTGCCATTTTTAATAGACTAATATTTCAAGCCTATGCAACAGTATGGGACCATTTCCCCCTGACCTAGACATGTTTATGTGAGCAGAGGGATTGCATGCCCCAAATGTCCCGGATCGTTATTTGCTACGTGTATTGTAATCAAATTGTTGCCATGATTTCTGTTGCAGCTGACAGGACCCTAAAGATCACCCTTCAAGAGGGAAGTCCCCAATGATCATCACTGGGGTGAGTGTGCCAGCAGCTCAGGGGTGAGAGAGCATCCCTGCTGCCTGGGGAGTGGTCCTAACACTTCATCAGTTCCATTGCACAGAAAGGCTATTGCCTGTATTCAACTGTATTTATTTATTTAAAGCATTTTCTTTCTGCCATGCTCTTTAACTGGAAAGGCTCCCAGGGCGGCTTAGAAAGATCAGTAGTTAAAGAGAGGCTTAACACATGAAAGACAGGACACGAAAGGAAACAGGGAGGAGGAGGGAGGAGGAAAAGTAAAAAAGCAACCTCAGTTCTTAACGTTTCCAAGTGCTTACAAACACTAGCTGGGATGGAAACAGTTCAAGGAGACTCTCAGGAGAGTTGACGGAGCTGCCCTGTTTCCCTATTCTCCATCGGCTGCAGCTTCATGAAGTGGAAGTTGATGTCCTATAGCCCACAAAGAACTGTGCATCCTCAGCTAGGCCAGATGCCATGCCAGGAGCTGGTCAAGCTACAGCCAGGTGCCTATAGCTCCATACATACTTCCAGCTCCATTACCATTCTTGCTCATTCATTTTGGCTCAGGACCATACAGCTGGAAGAGCCTCACACAATGAAATAAACTGTGAAGGTGACAGTAAAACCGATGGAAAGGTGACAAAATCTCCCCAGGTGTTTGCAAGCAAAGCAGTCTAAGACACAGCTGGGGAACCTTGGGCTGTATGAACCCTCCAAGGCTCTCTATCCAGGTCTTAAGACTCTTCCCAGGCCACGCCTCCTCTTTCCAGGCCACGCCCCTTACTGACCACGCCCTTCCCAAGTGCTTTAAACCAACCAGGATGTGTCCTTCAACAGCAGCAGTGCTCTGGTTTGCTTGGATAGATGATGGAGAGAGGCATGGGTGCAGAAACTCTGCTTTTTGCAGAGCTGCAGAAGCACTACTAAACTGCCTCTGCTGCCTGTAAAACATCACACCTGCCTTCACCTTAAATCTCATACTATTTCAGCCAATGTAGGGGTCCTTCTAGGAGTTGATTTATGAGTCCAGGATCTATCTCCCATCCGGAAATTTGACTTGAGATAGACATAGCATTTACACACAGCTGTAGTTGATTTAATTTATTAAGATATTGGTTCCGTTCAAATTAATGGACACGTTTTATAGAGTGAGTTCTCACCAAGAGTTCCATCTCAAATAAATGGCTAATTACTTGGATTCAGACAAAGTGCTCATCCCTAATATATAATAAGGGGACCCATAGATAAAGCACCATTAGTCCTCATTTTTCACTTCTGAGGGAAAGAATCATTGAAATTAATATAGTCTGCACTTTCTCTCTCTCTCTAACAAAAGACGAGTCTCCTCCTCCTCTTCAAAAAGTGATTAGTACTAAAGTATGAGAGAGAGATTTATTAGCCATTGGAGAACTTCATTCCAAATAGGATTAATAAGAAAATTAATAGAAATGGCTACAAACATTACGCACAGTTGAACAATTACCACTATAGATGAATAGTGGCTGCTAAGAAAGCATCCGGGAACAGTCAGAAGAACCAAGGAAGAGGAGCCCTGCTGAACCAAAGCAAACACCATCTAGTCATAGAATCACAGAGCTGAAGATTTGGAAGGGACTAGGCCCACCTCCTGCCAGGCGCGCCAACTCCAGGGGGCTGGGGTGTCTTCAGCCCCCTTGAAATCCCTGGACAACTGGCTGGGCCCTCTCAATGTTGAGGGGCTGGAGGAAGCTCCTGACGGTTGGCCTTCCCAGCCGTTGACCTCTTCCATTGTGTGTGCTGGGACACGTGTGTTGGTGCAACCCTTCGATGAGCACCAGTGTCAGATGGGAAGATGCACTGTGCTCATCAGCAGGGGCGCACCAATGTGCCAGACCTTCGGTGCTCTGGCGCAACCCTGCTGGTGAGCCCATTGCTCCTTCCCATCTGGCGCTGACACTCTGGGCTAGTTAGGAGGGTCTAGCACTCTGGTGCGACCCTCTGTTGAACACAGGAAGACTGCTGGGCTCATAACCAGCCCTCTGGCGAGCCCTGTGCGCTGGTGTCACATGTGCGTGTTGTCACACACATGTGACTTCACACGTGAGGTGAGCCCCCCCCAATGTTGGGCACAACTCGGCACCTCTGCTTCCTGTAGTGCAAGAATCACAGCTAAAGCATTGCTCCAACCAACACCTTCTGACATAAGTCCGTTCCACTGCCCCACAGCTGTTACCACCAGAAAGTTCCTCCATCCTGTTGATTGCCTTGGCCAACCAGGTGCATCTTGGGAAGCCCACAGCGCAGGACATGAAGGCAATGCTTCTCTCCCACAGTCATCCCCCAGCAGCTGGTAGTTCAACAGCACTGTGATATTGCCTCATCTAACCACTTGGGAGACCAGGATGGTCACTAAAGGAAAAGGCTGTAGCTAAGCAGTAGATCAGGACGCGGGTGGCGCTGTGGGTTAAACCACAGAGCCTAGGATTTGCTGATCAGAAGGTCGGTGATTTGAATCCCCGCGACGGGGCGAGCTCCCGTTGCTCGGTCCCAGCTCCTGCCAACCTAGCAGTTCAAAAGCACGTCAAAGTGCAAGTAGATAAATAGGTACCGCTCTGGCGGGAAGGTAAACGATGTTTCTGTGTTCTGTTCTGGTTCACCAGAAGCGGTTTAGTCATGCTGGCCACACTGTCTGCGGACAAATGCCGGCTCCTTCAGCCTATAGAGCGAGATGAGCGTGCAACCCCAGAGTCAGCCACGACTGGACCTAATGGTCAGGGGTCCCTTTACCTTTACCTTTAAGCAGTAGATCGCAGTGGCAAAAGGCCCTAGGTTCATTCCCTGGATGTGAGGCTGGGAATGCCCCGCATCTGAAACCCAGGAGCGTTGCTGCAAGTCAGTGTAGAGTCTATATTGAGATAAACGGACCAACGCTCTGACTTGGTGCAAAACTACTTCCCATGTTCAGCTCCCAGCCACTCCAGCTCAGCCAAGGACCTCAGGGGGCAGGGCTTAGATTGGGGTATAGTCACCTATGGTCCTGGCCTGGCCTTGTCCCCCAGCACATTTGTCCAGCTGCACCTGTTCAGGCTCTTTCGACCTGCTGATCCAGGTTCCTTTGTCTTGCAAAAGGTGACTCCCTTCTCCCTTCCGTGACCCAAAGGCGTGTTTTTTTGAGACAGCTGAGTCAGTTCAGCACGAGGCCAAACCTGTTCCTTTAGCCTCCCTTGGGTGAGCTGAATAAATAGCTGCATTTGCTGCATTGCCAAAGTCCCTGCATTGTCCAGATGTCCATGCTGCATAAGAAGATTCAGAGTACAAGAAGCTGACTTGGTCAAACTACTGGTGCATCTAGTAGCTTATTACTGTCCTCACCAGGGTTGGGGAACATCAGGCACAGAGGGCAGATGCAGCCTCCTAGGTCTCTTGACCTGGTCTTTGCGACCTTCCATAGGCCCTGCCCTCTTTCCCCAGGTGCCGACTCTCAGTGGTCCTGTTTTGCACCCTTCTTGGCTGTTTTTGCCTGGTTGGAATGGGTCCTTGAGGATGCAGTACCCAGGAAAGAGTAGTAGCGGTTGAAATTGATGGAAGATGCTGAATTGGAAAGTTTAACTAGTAAAAATAGAGAATGAGATGAGACGGCCTTTAAGGAGGGTTGGAAAATGTAGATTATTAAAAAAAAATTTTTTTGCAAACATATTAAAACGCTGGCAGGTTTAGAGTAAGGTCAGCAGCAAAAGTTATTCTGAGAATAAGGAGAAGGAAGGAAGGCATAAGTCAATTATAATATGCAGCAGCAATAGATAATTTGAGGAAGCCATGGAAGGCTGGAAGGGAAGTCGACTATCAAGGGAATGTATATTGGAAAGCGTTTACCAATTGTATTTCATTTTTGGAAAATTTGTAAGTAAATAAAGAATGGAATGTGTCCTTGAACTGTGATAATGCCTCTTTGCATGAACTCCCATGCAGAACTGGAATTTACATTCATGGCTCTGCCCATTTTTGCCTTTGCCCCTGCCCACCTTTGGATTCCTGGGCAGGTTCTCCAGCCCTGGCAATGGATCTCCAGGGTTTCAGGCAGGAGACATTCCCTTTTGCTTGCAAAAACGAAGCAAGATTCCAGTCCTCATGGTTCTGAATAAAGGGCTGATTTAAGGAGGAATGCAGGAAGCGGCCTTGTACCAAGACACACCTTTGGTCTATCTAGCTCAGTATTAACTACACTGACTGGCAGCAGTTATCCAGGATTTTAGGTAGGGATCTCTCCCAGTCCTACTTGGAGATGCAGGGGACTGAACCTGGGACCTTCCGCATGCGAAGTAGATGCCCTGCCACTGGGCTATGGTCCTGCCCCATTATAGCTCAAGTTGGTAGAACATGAGACTCTTAATCTCAGGGTCGTGAGTTCGAGCCCCATGTTGAGCAGAAGATTCCTGTGCTACAGGGGGTTCGACTACATGGCTCTTGGGGTCCCAAGTTTACAATTCTATGATCCTATCCTTCCAGAAGGGATGTGGGTGGTACTGTGGGTTAAACCACAGAGCCTAGGACTTGCCGATCAGAAGGTTGGCGGTTCGAATCCCCGCGACGGGGTGAGCTCCCGTTGCTCAGTCCCTGCTCCTGCCAACCTAGCAGTTTGAAAGCATGAAGTACAAGTAGATAAATAGGTACCACTCTGGCAGGAAGGTAAACGGTGTTTCCGTGCGTTGCTCTGGTTCACCAGAAGTGGCTCAGTCATGCTGGCCACATGACCTGGAAGCTGTACGCCGGCTCCCTCGGTCAATAAAGTGAGATGAGCGCCGCAAACCCAGAGTTGGCCACGACTGGACCTAATGGTCAGGGGTCCCTTTACCTTTTATCCTTCCAGAATTAGTCTAACCCCCCTTTTAACACCATCTAAATCATTGTGACCTGATCCAGAATCCCACCAGCTCCTGAGATGCATGTGACCCAGCCTATTTTGCATCTCGACATATAATTTTCACCCAAGTTGTCTGCGCCAGGCAATTTCCTCCACGCTTCCCCTGCGTTTGGAGAAGTGTTCATTTCCGCGGCACGAGAAAGGAGGGTGGCAGGCGGCTTATCGTAGCATTTGCACTACAATAAACAGCCGATCAAAAACCTTCCCTGGCAATGCATTTCCACGCATCTCAGAGGCGGCCCAATTAATCCCTGTTCTGCATTCAGGCTACGATAAGGTAAGCCCCTCTTCAGCAGATCGCTGGGATTTTAAGGGGCTCAAGGAAAGAGGCATCTCAGCAATTTTTGCAGGTTTGGAAGCAGCGAACTGGAAGGGGAAAAAAAAATTAATCAAAGGGAGCAGAGCGCAGGAGTCTTCCCTCTCCAAATAAGAATTAACATCTGTTACTAAAATTGCGGCTGTTGCTGAGTCTGTGTCGGGAGTAGAGAGCTGTGTAAAGCAAAGCGCTACTGGAGCCCGTCAAGCATAGCCAAACATACACCCACATTCAGCAGGAGAACAGTTCAGGTGGCCGTCAAGCTCTGTTCGTGTGGCAACATGCAGACTCTCCTCAGCTTAAGAACAAAACAACAACAACAACAACAACAAAGAGCCTGGCTGCTGCATCAGGCCATAGGCCCATCAAGTCCGGCATTCTGCCCTCAGAGTGGCCAGCTAGAGGCCTGAGAGAAGTCTGTAAGCAGGACCTGAGTGTAACAGCAGCTCTCCCCTGCTGCAGTTTCCAGCCACTGCTTTTCAGAAGCATGGACTGCCCCCAACCGTGGAGGGAAAACGTAGGGGCGATGTCAGAGACAAGGAGGAGGAATGATGGAGACCATCTCCCCATCCTGACCCTTCCAGGGAAGAGGAAGACAGTATAGATTTACAACAGTGGATTGAGGGAGGTCGCAGCTCAGAGGCAGATGAGGGGAAACGTTGGGAAATCGTGGGAGAGCCAGAGCAACATGTTGTCATTAGAAAGCATCCCAGACCTCCATCTCATAGAACCCGGCGAGCCTTAAAAGTAGGAGAGCAAAGAGCTCGAAGAGAGACGGTACATAGCAGCACCCATAGAGGAGGTGAAGATGATGAATGAGGAAGTGGGAGAGATGGAGGGGTGGAGATTCACTTGACACAACACCATTGTCCAAGAGGTTGGGTTCTATAGCCTCTCTCTGTAAAGACTGAAATAAAAAAGGACTGTAAGAAACTTTTCCTTATCTTTATGCTTTCCTGGGCAACCAGCCGGGAGCTGCTGACAGCATCCTGACAGGCTAGTAGCTACTCGTAACCTTATCCTCTGCAAATTTGTCTAACCTGAATCCCCAAAAGACAAAGGGGTATATGTCCTGTGTTCTCTATTTACTAAGGGCGAGGGTGGGAATGAAGGGTGCATGGCGTCCTTCTCATGACAGCCTCCCCGAACTGCTTTGCAAGGGCCATTCCAGCCTCACAAAGTGGCTCAGGGCTGGTGACGCTGGGCATGCAATGGGCTCCCTTCACCCTCTGCACCCTGCCCACCCTGGCACAATGAAAGCACGCTCTGCCACTGCTATTTACCAAAGGGCAGATCAGGTTTAAGGTGTTGGTTTTCACCTTTAAAGCCCTATACGGCCTAGGACCCTCATATCTACGGGACTGCCTCTCTTGGTATGTCCCACAGAGGACCTTACGGTCTTCAAATAAAAACATCTTGGAGATCCCAGGCCACAGGGAGGTTAGGCTGGCCTCAACCAGAGCCAGGGCTTTTTTGGCCGTAGCCCCAATCTGGTGGAACGCTTTGTCACAAGGGACTAGGGCCCTGAGGGACTTGACATCTTTTCGCAGGGCCTGCAAGACGGAGCTGTTCCACCAGGCCTTTGGCCAAGGCACAGTCTAACCCCCTCTCTCCTTCTGTAATCATCATAGAACTCTAGCCCAATGGTTGCCATTAATTCGATTCTGAATTGATTTTAGAATGTATTTTAATTAATTGACTGTGATTTTATGTAAACTGTGCTATTTTTACTGTTGTTAGCTGCTCTGAGCCCGGCTTTGGCTGGGGAGGGCGGGATATAAATAAAATATTATTATTATTATTATTATCTTTGGGAAAGGCATCCTAGCACCACAATTTGAATCCTTCTGAGTCTCCCCTCCCCACGCCAGCTACAAGAAAGGAGATTCTGAATAAAACATCAGGAAGAACTTTAATACAGGAAGAGCTGTTTGACAGAGGTATGGGATCCCACCAAGAGGTGGTGGACTCTCCTTCTATGGAGGTTTTTAAGCAGAGGTTGTTTGGCCATCTGTCATGGATGATCTAGCTGAGACTGCTGCATTGCAGGGGGTTAGACTGGATGACCCTTGGAGCCCCTTCCAACTCTACAATTCTGTGATTCTATATGGTCCAACTATGGCCCAACTAGCTCAATATTGTCCACACTGACCAGCAGAGACACTCCCAGGTTTTAAGAGAGAGGTCAAATTTGGAGATGCCAGGGATTGAACCGGCAACTCTCTGTGTGCAGAGTGGAGAAGGGACAGAGCAGTCCAGAAAGCAGACCCACATTCTGAGAAATTAAGGCAGAATGAATACAGATAAGAATTTAACAAGTGGTGCCTTACCATACTGTGCATTTAACAAAAAAGAAAGAGAAGGTCAGGTTCAACCTCCAGCATCTCTATAGCTAAAAGAATCAGGGAGCAAGTGGCCTAGAAGCCTCTCCTCTGTCTGAGACTCAAGAGCTGCTGCCAGTCGACCCTACTAAGTAGCCCCTAGATCAGGGTTCAGCAAACGTTTTCAGCAGGGGGCCAGTCCACTGTCCCACAGACCTTGTGGGGGGCCAGACTATATTTTGGGAAAAAATATGAACGAATTCCTATGCGCCACAAATAACCCAGAGATGCATTTTAAATAAAAGGACACATTCCACTCATGTAAAAACACGCTGATTCCAGGACCATCTGCGGGCCGGATTTAGAAGGCGATTGGGCCGGATCCGGCCCCCGGGCCTTAGTTTGCCTACCCATGCTCTACAGGCCTTGGAAGCTGCCTCCTTACCACTGATTTTCATTGCATTTCTCCTCTGCTCTCGCTTTCTCCTGCTTGCTAAACAGACTGTGCTTTTATCATGTTTGAGTCTAACGTCTTTTGATGGCATTTCTCTGCAACCTTTGGAAAGGTACCAGAAGAGAGGAACCCACATGTGGTATGTTGTGCAGCTTGGAGTTTATATTTAGAGTCTCTCGGTGCCCAGCATGAACCGCTGGAAGTCGCTTTCCTCTGCAGGTAATTTGGATAGATGGGAGCAATCAGGACTGGCGGTTTAGCGTAGCTATGAAATGCCGCATCCACGCTGAGCTTCTAGTACATTAGCAGAGAGAACCCCCCTCCCTCTCCTTTTGCACCAGCAGGGCTATGCAGAACTCTGCATATGAACACCAGAGTCCTGCTGGATCAGAGCGTAAGGTCCATCCAGCCGACAGGTGCTTATGGGAAGCCCCTAACATGGGGGCCTCCAAGGTGGTGTCCCTGGGTACCATGATGCCCTTGAGGTCTTCCCCTGGCACTCACGGAGTTTCTGAGCTGCCCCACGAGATAGTGAAGGTGGTTAGCTTTGCAGCCCTCGAAAAGGACATAGAGTTGAAGGAAGAGGTCGATAGAGGGGCACTCTTTCCCACTTCCTCCTTCAACTCTGTGTGCTTTTCAAGGCTCAGATGAATTTTACTGGATCTGACCACATCAGGCAGGAATCTCTAAAAACACCTACCGGGGAGCCCAATTCCCTTCCTTTGCAAAACTTCCAACAGTGAATGAATAGCACCCCTCCCGGCCTCCCAGTTGTGCCAACGAAAAGATCCTGTGTGTATGTGTTTGAGGTCTGGAAGGTGTGTATAAAAGGCGTATATGTTTAGAGACCAATTCTGTTTCCCGTGGTGAAGGGACAGCCTTTTCTCCACTGGTGAAAGAATCCCTTTTTGTGGGACATGGGAATAGAAGGATGGGGGGCGGGAAAAGTTTGGCTCTGAGCATTGGGGGACGACTGAGCTGTTTCCCCATTTTGTAACACTTTTGCATGGTTCCCAGTTTGGATCAGCAACCTTTCGTCCTGGCTGCGGTTTCCCATTCCCAGTCTTTATTTTGCCTTCACTGGCCTTACCCTCACCTGCCAACACTCAGTTGCACCCAGCCAAGTTTTGCTCCGAGTTGACCCACTGAAGTTTGGGGGCCTAAGTCAGCTGCGTCTGTTAATTTCAGTGGGCCTGCTCTGAGTAAGGATTAGAAAGCGGCTGCCATTTAACAACCCTGAGGTAGCCCATGTGGGCTTTCTTTCATGACATCACATTAGAGGAGCATCAGTACATTATTGTGGTTGAGGGTGCGTGGAATCTGCAACACAGCCAAAGGGATGAAACAGGGCCCAAATGAGGCAGAGGGCCCACAAGTTACAGAACAGAAAATCACAGAACTGTGACACGGGTGGCGCTGTGGGTTAAACCACAGAGCCTAGGGCTTGCAGATCAGAAGGTTGGTGGTTCGATTCCCTGCGGCGGGGTGAGCTCCCATTGCCCGGTCCCTGCTCCTGCCAACCTAGCAGTTCGAAAGCACATCAAAGTGCAAGTAGATAAATAGGTACCACTTCGGCGGGAAGGTAAACAGCGTTTCCGTGCTGCTCTGGTTCGCCAGAAGTGGCTTAGTCATGCTGGCCACATGACCCGGAAGCTGTACGCCGGCTCCCTCGGCCAATAAAGCGAGATGAGAGCCGCAACCCCAGAGTCGGCCACAACTGGACCTAATGGTCAGGGGTCCCTTTACCTTTACCCAGAGTGGGAAGGGAACGAGACATGTGCTGCTCAAAGCTCACAAATGAGGCGAGTAGCTTGGGCTTAGAGAGGCGGGGCGAACGGAGTGAATGATGCACACTTCATGTCATGACAATATACAGAAGGGAAGTCCAGGTCTTACCTTGGAGGGCTTCTTTGGCTCTAGCGAGCTCCTGCTCTTTCTGCGCCAGCTGGACCTTGAGCTCGGTGGCCGAGAGGATCTCCGTCGACTTGCCGCCGTGGGTCTCCTCCAGGTCTTTCGTTAGCATTTCCTTCATCTGCCGGAGCAAGTGAACCTCCTCTTGAAGCTGGGACACCTCTTCCCGGAGAAGCACTGCGAGGAAAGAGGAACACAATGTCAGGAAGCGAGGGGCTGGCCGCCTCCTTCGGCTCAGGAAGATCTCCGGGGAATCTTGAGGGTTAGCGTCGCAGGATCCCAAGTGCCGTTGCAGTTCTGCCGTTGCTGTTTTAAGGAACCACCGCCAACAGCACCAGCTCTGCGGTGTAATATAAAATGCTGCAGAGATGAGGAAGCCTGTGGCCTTCGAGATGCTGCTGGGACTACAAATCCCATAGGCCATGCCCATGGGATTTGGAGCTCAACAATGTCTGAGAGCATCAGGGTTCCTATCTGTGGAGCAGAGGTTAGAACAGTGCTTCCCAAACTTGGGTCTCCAGCTGTTTTCGGACTACAATTCCCATCATCCCTGACCACTGGTCTTGGTAGCTAGGGATGATGGCATAGCTGTCAAAGTTTCCCCTTTTTAAAGGGAAATTCCCTTATTCCGAATAGGATTCCTCACAAGAAAAGGGAAAAGTTGACAGCTATGGATGATGGGAGTTGTAGTCCCAAAACAGCTGGAGATCCAAGTTTGGAAAACACTGGGTTAGAATGTCAGGGGAACCTGGGTTCAAATCCCTACTCTGGGTAACCTTGAGCCAGTCACAAACTCCCAGCCTGGCACAAGGTTGTTGTGAAGGGGAAATGGAGGTGGACTACATACAAAGCTGTGAGCCCATTGGAGGGAATGGGATTAAAAATAAAACTGCCAGTCTTTATACAGATCCATTGTGTGACCGTGCTTGAGATGCATTCTGTACAGTTCTGGTTGCTGCATCCTCCAAAGGATATTGTCCAGGACAGGGCAAGCAATGTTACCAAGGTGTGCAGCTGGAATGGGCAGAGAGAATGAATTTGATCTCCCCTCCTCCTGAACAGGTTAGCACAACCACCTTTAATCTGAATGAATGAACAGCCCCTCTACACCACAGTGGGGCTGATTTACTTTTATTGTGTATTTTTAAGCTGCGCTTCAGCTGAAAAAAGGGCAGCTTACATAGGGGCCAACTCCTGGGGGCTGAGGTCCATCCCCCACCCCAATAAAATATTTGAGGGAGCTGCCCCCCCCGCAAGTTGTTGGGCATTGCCATTCATATGGTGTGTGTGTGCTACATCATATAATCACATATGAAGGGCGGAGCTTACCTCCCCCCCCCCCATTTTATTCAAGTTGACACCCTTGGCAGCTTCCATAAGTTGGTTTCTGAAGCACAACACAGAAGGAAAGGAAGTTGGGAAGGATGAGGTCTGCAAATTATGGGCAGTATCTTTCTGCTGCGGGCAGGTCACTGGGTTGTGACCTGAGCCACAATCTTCCTCCCTGCCAAACCTGTATTTCCCCTCCATTCTAAACCCTTTATTCTAAGCCGATCTTTTCACTACGTTCTTTGGCAACAGGACAGTGGGAGGGCACGGTTTTGGGAACAACAGCCTGCCCTTCCCAATGGGGACACAAAAGAATGAATAGAACCCGGGCGGTGCAAAAACAAGGTAATTCAGAAGCAAAATGGAGAGGGGTGGGGAAAAGGGTGGTTGCTTTGAGCAGGGTTAATATTATGTTTTTTCAAAGCCAAGCCACATAACCCCAATACTTGTGAGAGCTGGGCAAAGGGAGGATGGCTGGGAAGTCCTTTGGCTCCGGTGGGAAAAGGGAGAGCTACACAAAAGGTTTCATCTTAATTGAGGTTTTTTGCAAGCCTGATCTGGAACCAAAGGACAACCCCATGCCAACCCTGGTAGGCGGGCAGAAAGAACAGAAGATTCTTTCTGTGTGCTTCCTTCTCCAGCTGGCACGGGAAACAGAGTGCACCTGGTCAAATGTGCAAGGCGCTGGATATTCTGTGAGGGCATGCGACAAACACCAGCATCTCCCCAGGGAAATCTTTCTGGTCACCTCGACTCAAAAAGGATGTCGCAGGCTTGGGAAAGTTTCAGCAAAAGGCACCAAAATGAGCAAGGGGATAGGGCGACTCCCCTGTGGGTAAATGTTTGGGACTTTTTAGTTCAGAGAAAAGGCAAGTAAAAGGGGACATGATAGAAGTTTATAATACTATACAGGCCATGGAGAAAGCAGACAGAGAAAAGCTTTTCTCTTTCATAAGATTAGAACAGCAAGCTGCAGCTGTTGATGGACAGCTATATAAATTTAATGCATGGTAAGTAGAGACATCACCTTGCCAACAAAGGTCTGTATAGTAAAAGCTATGGTTTTCCCAGTAGTGATGTATGGAAGTGAGAGCTGGACCATAAAGAAGGCTGATCGCCGAAGAATGGATGCTTTTGAATTATGGTGCTGGAGGAGACTCTTGAGAACCCCATGGACTGCAAACAGATCAAACGTATCCATTCTTAAGGAAATCAGCCCTGAGTGCCCACTGGAAGGACAGATCGTGAAGCTGAGGCTCCAATACTTTGGCCACCTCATGAGAAGAGAAGACTCCCTGGAAAAGACCCTGATGTTGGGAAAGATGGAGGGCACAAGGAGAAGGGGATGACAGAGGATGAGATGGTTGGATGGTGTTCTTGAAGCTACCAGCATGAGTTTGATCAAACTGTGGGAGGCAGTGGAAGACAGGAGTGCCTGGCGTGCTCTGGTCTGTGGGGTCACGAAGAGTCGGACACGACTAAACAACAACAACAATAACCACCACCACCAAAGTGATACTGTTGTTGCTGAACATTTAAGTGCTGTTCAATATACCCCTTCCTATTGCCATCATTTTCCTAATTTTTGTTTTGCTCTCACCAGCCCTTTCCCTCACTCCCGGTTGTGGACAGTGAAAGCACAGAAGGAAAGTGAGCTTGGTAGCATGAAGTACAGCAGGCATAGGCAAACTCGGCCCTCCAGATGTTTTGGGACTACAACTCCCATCATCCCTAGCTAACAGGACCAGTGGTCAGGGATGATGGGAGTTGTAGTCCCAAAACATCTGGAGGGCCGAGTTTGCCTGTGCCTGAAGTACAGCATCAAAACACTGTGCATATATTCACAATGAATATATACATTTAACTAGAGGTATGCAATTGTGTTTACTGTACAGTGGTACCTCAGGTTAAGTACTTAATTCGTTCTGGAGGTCCGTTCTTAACCTGAAACTCTTCTTAACCTGAAGTACCACTTTAGCTAATGGGGCCTCCTGCAGCCGCCGCACCGCCAGAGCACAATTTCTGTTCTCATCCTGAAGCAAAGTTCTTAACCCGAGGTACTATTTCTGGGTTAGCGGAGTCTGTAACTGAAGCGTATGTAACCTAAAGCATATGTAACCCGAGGTACTGCTGTATATATATCCCTGAAATATGCTCACACGAAGCGAGGTGTGCAGTTTTAGCTCAGCCCTCGCCCAACACAGCATGCGGCATCCAGCAGTTCCACCCCAAGGCAAGAGCGCTGCTTTTTGAGGAGAAGAAAGAAAAGGCCTACATTCTCCCCCCAGGGACTTCCTGACATGCATCCCGCCCTCGTTCCAACCCACATTCCACTTGGCAAGCTCCACCAACCTTCCCAAACTGCAAGTGCGAGCCAAGAATTTGCTGAGGAAACGTCTCTCCGGTTGTCAGCCAAGATACAGAACTCCCCTTTATCATGTGCAACAACCAGCAGAACATCACAGAACATCCTCCCCTCCCACCACCATGGGCTAGAATTTCACGAAACGTCCACAGGCTCACATTTGCTCCACATCAACAAAGGCGGGGCTGGGGAAACGGTCCCTGAGATGCAATTGAATTCTGAACTCCCATCAGCTCCAGCCAGCATAGCCAATGCTGGGAGTGGTTATAGTCCAGGATGGCAGGGGTTACTAATTCTGCAGCAGGGTCCCACTCTCCAGCACCCTGGAGCTGCCCAATCAGCATGAAGGAGCTTTGAAGCCAATGAGAAGCAGTCTTCTCATCCTTTGTGCTGGTTGGAGCTAATCAGAGTGAAAGGAGGCGAGTCAGCCACTGAGGATTGGCTCTTAGGGTCACTCTGGAGAAGGTTGGTGGGTGGAACACTGAGGAGGAAGAGTTCTTTGCTATTATTATTAATTGTTGATTTAATTTGTATACCAGCCTTCATCCGAAGATGCCAGGGCGGATCACAACATAAAAATGCAAAACTAGAACACAAAATACATAATGAAACAAAAACAAACCAAGGCTGCAGGTTCGAGCCCCATAAGGGGCAGCTGCATATTCCTGCATTGCGGGGGGTGGGGGGGTGGACTAGATGCCTCTTGGGGTCCCTCCCAACTCTATGATTCCAAGGAATGGGGATCCGCAGCTAAAGGCTTGGTGGCAAGGAACTGCCAGCCAGCCTACTGATGCACTTGGCACCCCCAACAATACGATGAGGCAGGGATGGCCTGCAATGACACTTCCCCAAGTGTGAATCATTCCACATATCAGGTAAGCCGTTTGCCCACTGCGTGGGTGCAGGACAATAATTGGGGGCCATTGGTGGTTTTGCCTGGCTGAATAGCACCTTTGAACTGTGATAATAACAGTTGCCTGCCGAGGAGACCCATAGGTGCTGGTTTGAAGGAAGAGCAAAATCTAGCAGATAATATTAAAACCACCTTGCTGCTTCATGTTCCCATGTCCTATGTGAGCATTTCCCCCTGCCTACCTGGGTCTGTCTCCTCCTCCTCCTCCTCCTCACCTCCCTCCCACCCTTGGCATTAAGCTGGTTTTATCCCAGAAAAATACTGGGCTTCCACTTCCCTTGCAGCGATCAACATTTAATGACTGGCCCTTCCCCTTCCAAAGTTGGAGTGTTTGTGAAGATCCCAGGATATCACCACACAGACATGGCAAGGTGTGTTTACCAGTGGGGAAGCAGCAGCTGGCTATCTCTTTAAGCTACTTAACAATGAAAGGCTGTGGGCGCAGAAGTAATTTAGTCATACAGGAGACAAGGGAATGTGGAGCAGACACTGCTTAGGGTCAGAAAAAGGGGGTGGTTAGCATTACTTCCAGGTTGTCTACGCTGCAAACATGTGACACAACCAAAGTGGGAGAATCAAGCGCTTAAAACCTCAAGGATAAAATCGGACACCTGCCTGTTTTCCACTGCATCAGAGGGTTGTTTCCAAAATTAGTCCGACTCGGAGCACTGAAATCAATTTTAATGGGTCTACTCTGGGTAAAGCATAGTTGGCTGCAACCCAGCATGTGGCCCCTGGCAATCGGTTCAAAGGCAGGTGCGTTTTTTTCTGGCTATGCCTTCGAGAGGATGGCAGTGTGGGGTGGGTCCCCCTCTCCTGGCACAGAGTGCCACTTTGGCACAGCTTTGCTTAGCATGTTTTCCCCGGCTGTAATTAGACAGTGGCGAGATTAAAGGATCTGCTTTCATTTGATGCCGAGGGGGAGGCCAGGTCAGAAGATGGATTAGAGATTTCATTTCTTACAGTTTGCTGTTCTCGCTCGCTTTTTATTATTATGATTCCAAGTCCTCAAGGGGGTTTATAGGGATGAGTTCTTAAAAGCCCACGGGGACTCCACGCCTGCTTAATAGGCACGTAAATCCCATTGATTTCAGAAGGTGCCTGAGCAGTACCTTGAACTGCCAGCTGGAAGCAAGAGGATGGCGATATGCGCTTTGCTTCTAGGGTATCTCAGGCTTTGGTAGTGGTGGTATTGCAGATCTCCAGGCCTCTCTATCTGGTCCTGGAAACTCTCTGCAGCCACAACCCTTTTCACAGGCCTGTTTTGCGCCTTCCTTGTGCCTTTTTGCCAGTGGGATGTACCCTTGGACTCTGATAACAACTATTGCCTGTGGTTTGAGTATGGAAAGAAGCCTGCTGAGAAAGGATAAAATTCGCATTTGTTTCTCTGGCCCCACCCAAATTGGCCCCCAAATGCTCCCCACTCCTGGGGGAGAGTCCCAGGGGCCACAGAGAGAGGACTGGGGGCCATATTTTGACTCACAACATGTGTTTCTCCAACTGTAGCTTAATAGTTCTAGAAAACAACTCTCCGGTGCTTTGAAACCTCATGATTTCAAAACCAGTTTTGGCCACCCTACCCCCCTCTTTTTTTAGAGGGGGGCTGCAGAAATGTTGGGCCTGATTCACAAAGAAGGTTTCATGCAGAAGCTGCGCCGAGAGGAACGATAGTTGGGAAAGCACCCCACGGCGAGGATACTTCCACCCTAGAATTTTGGCACCAGATCCATCGCCTTTTCCAATTCCCTCAGGCGGCATCCGTTAAGACGGCATTCTCTGTGGCTTAAGAGTAAACCACATTGGTTACCCAAAAGCTTTCAACAGAGGGCATTACAATTTCAAGATATGGTGGAGTTCCCGTCACAGCAAATAACTTCTGCTGTTAAGGCTGAGCCGAGTGGTTTTGAGGGAACTTCTTTGAGCTGAAAGCCTGTTTGTCTTCCCTGACCTATATGCTGTCAGCTATTTGTCATCCTGGGGGCGGATGTGCTTTTCCCTGGTCATTCTGAGCACCGGAAGGAGGGCAGGAAGTGACGCTGAGTTGGTGACGACACAACGCAGCCAATGAGCTAGGGCTTACCAGGTGATATGTGACGTCAAATCGAGAGTGAGGGTGGCGGCTCCCGCCCTCCCTCTGGTGACTTATGGGTGGGTAAACATACATTGTGTGGGATGTGTGGTACCAAGCACCACAAGTAAGCTCTAGCAAGTGGGTCAAACCTCAAAGGGCAACCATGAAACCTCCCAAATTCTTCCCCGTGCTGCATCCTGTAAACAGAGTGGCAATCTGTGGTCACCATTTAGAATTGCATCCTTAGGCTCAATTCCCCCCCCCCCCAAGTGAGGGATGATGATTAAGGACTCAGCTATATTAGTAAAAATAATAATAAAGGTGTTTTAAATGGGTTATATGGGTTCTCGAAGCTACAAACATGAGTTTGACCAAGCTGAGGGAGGCCATGAAAGACAGGAATGCCTGGCGTGCTCTGGTCCATGGGGTCACGAAGAGTCAGACACGACTAAATGACTAAACAACAACAAAATGGGTTATAACACTGTGACACCATATGGAGCTGTAGAGTTCTGTCTCTGGGCAACAGGATTTCCCTTTATGAGGTTTACAACACGTTTTTCTGAAAAAAAATTTTTTTTTAATGTGTCCAGATCCAGCTTAAGTTATTCTAATATTACTTAAGTTTTTAGCCAACTCTTCCTCTCAGGAGTTCAGGTGTGCCTAGTTCCCACCATCACCACATCCTTACAAAAACCCTGTGAGGTAAATCAGCTGAAACACAGGACTGAGCCTCTCTGCCTGGGATAATTTGACCATTCTGACCAGTTTACAACACCGGCTCATGTAGGGCTCACTTCCAGAGTTAGAATCTTTTTAAAAAAATGACATTGCATTATTATTTTTTAACAAAACCACTGCTCCTTGTGCACACAAACCCAGCACACTTGCTATAAATCCACACACTTGCATATTATTAATTGCTGCCCAGAACCCCAACACCTCCCCCCTTCCCCTAATATACGTGAATTTGATTTGAAACGAGCGACGCAGCTATAGAGAATGAACAGTAGCTGCATTTTAAAGAATACAGCACGGCCCAGCTTTCAGGCTCACAGGGCGGAGTGAAATGCCCCATGGCTGCAAGTGATTGTGGACTTAAAAGAATGAGAAATTAAAGGGTTGTGGAGTACAAGAACTCTGGCGCTAAAATTAGATTTTTCACTTCCCCTGGCTAAAGTATTCCCCAGGACCACATGCTAGAAGCTGAGCAGGAAGGCATTTGCTCTGCAGAAAATCTACATGGCTTTCCCCTGGCATTAACCCTGTAATTATGGTTGTCAATTGTGTGAGGACGTCTCTCAGCACTGGAAAACCCATTTAAAAAACTTAGGCCACAATCCTACACCTGAGCAGGGGGGTGGCAAACGAAATATTTCAAATGAAGAAATGTGACTAAAAGCTGAGTGCAGGCAAGCTACTATCACTAAATAATTTGCCTCCAATCTCAGTCCTACAAATTTGTGCATGTCTTTTGTGTTTCTCTCACTTCATTCATGCATTTCCCTGTAATGAGTTCAAATGTTTGTATACGATTCTCATGAACAGTACCATTATTATGGGCGCTTCTTCTCTTAACATGTAATTATATTTTTTTGGTATGCATGTTGCCACCGGAGAACTGCATTGCAAAATTCAGAAAATTGTGAATTTCAAAGGATATAATCTGGCACCCCATCATCACAACATGGCTTTGCAATACAGGCTCTGGAGCAGGGGTGCACTTTGAGTTTGCCCTTTTTTCAAAATTATTTACAAAAGCACATATTCTGAATCACACCCCCCCCAAGCAAATGAGCATTACAAGAGAGCCCACATGTGTTTGTAGGATTACAAAGACTTTCTTCCCCCCGAAATTTACTTAGTTTTTTTATATACTGTACTTTTCCGTGTATAAGACTAGGTATTTTTTTTACTTTAAAATAATGTTAAAAAGGGGGGGGGGGAGGTAGTCTTATACATGGGGGTAATCTCCCCCCATTTTCTTAATTTTGAGTCCCCCCAAATAGGGGGCGACTTATACCCGGGGGCGTGTTATACACGAAAAAATACTATCTATCTATATATACTATATATATAAATACTATAGAGAGAGAGAGAGAGAGAGAGAAATTGGTCCTTTTTAAAAAAGTGTAAGCAATCTCCATTCTCAATGTTCTGTTTCCCCCGCTGTAATCAATGGCTGAAGCCACGGTGCCCTCTGAGCGCAGATCTCACCCCTGCTTCTGTCGGGTCGAGAAAGGTGGAACAATCAGCTGGAGGAAACCACAATTAGGGCTTTAACTTCGGAAATCCCACAAGGAGGGCCTGGAGGTGGCAGTCCTCTCCTGCTTGTGGCTACCAACACTTAGCCTTCAGAGGACTACTTTACACAACTAACCCATTCCCTCGGTTCTGCACCACTTCCTTATTGGTTACGTAGGTGGAATTCTTTTTCCGAAACGCACATTGAAGACTTATGAAATACTCCGCAGGAATGAAAGAGCTTGCAACAAAGGAATGGGCTCTCTAATTCGTGAAAAATTAACGAAGCAAGACGACGCCTCAAATTTCATCCCTACTAGGTAATTCTAGACCCTGGATTTAATGACCCGCCCCTCCTATATGTATTACTTTAATTTTGGCAAGGGCCGTACCTCAGTGTCAGAGCATCTACTATGAGTGCACAAGATCTCATATTCATTCCTGCACGTATCTAGGTAGGGTTTGGACGGATTCTTGCCTGAAACTCTGGAGAGCTCCTGTAAGTCAGTGTAGGCAGCAATGAGCTAGATCAGGGCTTCCCAAACTTGGGTCTCCAGCTGTTTTTGGACCACAACTTCCCATCACCCTTAGCTTGAAGGAGCAGTGGTCAGGGATGATGGGACCTGTAGTCCAAAGAAACCCAAGTCTGGGAAACACTGAGGTAGATGAACCAAAGGCCTGACTTCGCAGAAGGCAGTTTCCTATGTTCCCAACAGCAAATAGACCTTTATCTTCTCCCTCCTGCCTGAGTTCACGCGTCACAACCTGACACGCTAAGAGGAAAAACCAGGCAAAACAGTGCACCAAACTCAGTGCCGGATTTATGTATAAGCCTAGGACTTGCTGATCAGAAGGTCGGCGGTTCGAATCCCTGTGACGGGGTGAGCTCCCATTGCTTGGTCCCTGCTCCTGCCAACCTAGCAGTGCGAAAGCACGTCAAAGTGCAAGTAGATAAATAGGTACCACTTCAGCGGGAAGGTAAATGGCGTTTCTGTGCGCTGCTCAGGTTCGCCAGAAGCGGCTTAGTCATGCTGGCCACATGACCCGGAAGCTGTACGCCGGCTTCCTCAGCCAATAAAGCGAGATGAGCACCGCAACCCCAGAGTCGGTCACGACTGGACCTAATAGTCAGGGGTCCTTTAAGCAAGCTATAGCTTAGTGCCCCACTCTCTTGGGGGCCCCCCAAAAAAATTAAAGGAGAAAAAAAACTGGATGTACATTTCCAAAATATAAGATAAAAAACAAATAAAATAAAACCTACACACAGCAACAGTGTTTTGTGTTGTGTAGGCTCCTATGATGTAAGTAATGGGCCCTGTCTGCTAGCCTGCTCCCTAAAATATCACTGGTTTGCTCATTTCTATATATAGGGTGCCTACATTCTGCATGTGCAAATCGCTTTAGATACCTTCTAGGTCCATAAATTACCATATAGTATATATTCAACAGCGACAATTTGTTGTTGACAAAGGACAGCTGGACATATAAAGGGCCCATTACCTGATGAGTAGCTTAGGGCCTCATCAAACCTAAATCTGGCCCTGACCAAACGTGATGAAAAATGACGACTCTGCCTGGCAGCAGCTGTCCAGGGTTTGGACATCCCTGAGCCCTAGGGATGCCACTGGGGATTGCGCCCAGACCCTTCTGCATGCATGGCATGTGATCTACTGCCGAGCCACAGCCCACATTCCAGCAAAGCTCTTGGTGCTCAGCTCATGTCACATCAGAGCTGGATGGACTCAAGAAAACAAGCAGATGAAGCAAATTGTAGAGTTGAAAGGGAGCCCCGTGGGTCATCTAGTGCAATGCAGGAATCTCAATTAAAGCACCCATGACAGATGGTTATCCAATCTCTGCTTAAAAACTTCCAAGGAAGGAGGGACTTTGTTTCACTGCCAAACAACTCTTACCACCATAAAGTTCTTCCTGATGTTTAGTCGGAATCTCCTTTCTTGTATCTTGAATCCATTGGTTTGGGTCCTACCCTCCAGAGCTGGAGAAAACAGGCTTGCTCCATCATCCGTGTGACAGCCTTTGAGATATTTAAAGATGGCTATCATAGCTCCTCTCAGTCTCTTCTGTACCTGGCTAAACATCCCCAGCTTCCTCAACTGTTCCTCATAAGGTTTGGTTTCCAGAACCTTTATCAGCTAGGTTGCCCTCCTCTGCAAATGTTCCAGCTTGTCAACATCCTTCTTAAATTGTGGCGCCCAGAACGGGACACATCACTCCAGGTGTGGTCCGACCAAGGAAGAATAGAGTGGTACTATCACTTCTCTTGATCTGAACACTGTGCTTCTGTTGATGCAGCCTGGTACTGTGGTACCTTGGGTTACAGACGCTTCAGGTTACAGACTCCGCCAACCCAGAAATAGTACCTCGGGTTAAGAACTTTGCTTCAGGATGAGAACAGAAATCGTGTGGTGGTGGCGCGGCAGCGGCAGGAGGCCCCATTAGCTAAAGTGGTACCTCAGGTTAAGAACAGGTTCAGGTTAAGAACGGACCTCTGGAACGAATTAAGTTCTTAACCTGAGGTACCACTGTATAGCATTAACTTCTTTCTTTCTTTCTTTTGCAGCTGCATCGCTGTTAAGCTTGTGGTCTACTGAGACCCCTAGATCCTTTTCACATGTACTACTGGCAAGCCAGGTTTCGCCACCTTGGATCTCTATGGGATGTAATTCTGAGAAAACACACATAGGGACTGGGCTGCCGTTCTGGCTGAGTGATGGATCTGGACTCAGAGCTGCCCAACCCAAGGCCTTTGTCCTAATCCCCTTTAAAATAAAACAAATTTCTCTAAACATTTGTCAGTCCTCCTTTCCCATACATACCATAAACTTGGGGCCCTTTTAAGATTTTTTTAATTTATTTTTTATTTTTCAGAAAATAAGGGCTGTTGGGTTACCCGAGCTTTTTCAAGGCTGCTTCTATTTTTGTCTTTTTAACAGCTACAGAGATTTGATCACCTCTTTGAAGTTCTGTGGACCAAAGATTGAAAACTGAACGGATTAAATTTTAACAAGATGTAAGCACAAACAGACTTTCCTGGCCTGCATTTCAGCCAAAAACTACAAGCCTGGAAGCCAGAAAGATGTTCACTGCACAGAGGCAGATGTACAGGTATGTGCAGAATTTGGCCCCTCTGCGGCCAAAGTTTCCCCAGAAGTTATTAGTCTACATCATTAACTGAGAGGATCCCTATGAAACATGATGACAAAGAATGAATCGCCATGGCCGAATTCTAATATTTCATTTCGCTGCATTCTTTGCATTCTTCATTTCTCCTGCTCTTCATTTAAAATCAACGGAGGATGGTCCCTTCGGGTGGGAATCACCAATCCAGCACCTGAGAAGGTTTTCACTGGCCTCTGAACAGGAATGCGAGATCCTGAGCTTTCACAGTTTTTTGAAGCAAGTCTTTGATTCCTGCACTGCAGGGTATTTGACAAGATGACCCAGGTGGAAGTCTGACACACTAACCCAGGCATAGGCAAACTCTGCCCTCCAGATGTTTGGAACTACAACTCCCATGATCCCTAGCTAGCAGGACCAGTGGTCAGGGATGATGGGAATTGTAGTCCCAAAACATCTGGAGGGCCGAGTTTGCCTATGCCTGCTCTAACCACTGCCTCTCTATAACAGGAAGCAGGGGCATAGTATTGGGGTGCCAGAGGGCCTTAGCCCGGGCACAGATTTTTCAGGTGGCAGGAAGCAGGCACCCCCCACAGGCACTCCCAGTGCAGCTTGTCCCGATGCCCTTCTCCTGGCATTGGAGGAACCAATGGTCATAGAGGGGAGCACCGGGCAGGGCCATGCTGGAGGCCCCAGAGTGGGGGCGCCTGGTTCGCACCCACCAAATACCGTGTCGGCTGGTCGGGCTCTCCCTTGCATAGCAGGCAGGTAGTGCCACATGGCCCTGCTTGGCTCCAACATGCAGTGGAATTGTTTTGGTGGTGTTGACAGTAAGGGCTGAGGTGCCATGGCAGGCTCCTTCACCCTCTGGGTGCATGCACACCCCTTTGCCACGCATGTGCCCGCCCCGGGCGGCATACACTCAAGCAACACTGCCGATAGGAAGGGACCACTCAAGCAACACTGCCGATAGGAAGTGGTTCTCTCCCCTTCTCCAGCCACAGCTGCACCAAGAAATAATAAACACCTCCTTCGCATTCTTCAAATATTTTGCTTATGAAGGCTGGAAAGGACGCACTTTTTGGTTTTTTTGAAAAATGCAATAAAAACGTCTCTTATGAGGAACCTCTGCGCTTTGGAGGGGGTGGGGTGTGTGGGGGGGGGTTGGGACCTGACTAACACCCAACAAGGTCCTTGCCAACTAACGACACCATCCGTGCTCAGCCAGCGACTGATGCACCCGTATGCCAGCCGTAAAGCCTGCCAGTCAAATGTTACATGCTTGGGTGGAGAGATTGGCTCCCAAAACTTTCCAGCAATCTGGGATTTGTGTGTGTTGCTGTGGGTTTCTCCCCCCCCCCCCGCTTTCAGATGAAAGCTTCACCAGCAGCAACCATCTTTCAAATCCAAACACGCTGCAATCGGAGCTCTCATCTGGAAGCTGATCCTGGAATCCATGCCAAGTCGCAGAGGGAGGGGAAGCAGAACGTTTGCACATTTTCCCACGCTACGGATACAGAAGAACTGCCAGGCATCCGCGGCCTCTTAGAAATCCCCCGCCAGGCAGGGCAAAGTGTGCCCTGCCGTGGTGGGAAGGGACTCGCTTTCAGCATGTGGCAAGGATGCAGCTGAAAACACCACAAGCCCCCTTATGCCAGGGGCAGATGGTTCTGCATAGATGGAGGCAGACCGGCCCATCTCCAGGTCAGAGGAGGCTGTTGGCATCGTGCCCCCTTCTACATCTCTCTCCTCCCCAGCCATGGAGCACGGAAGATGGAATTACAGGCTCTGCATGCCAACGACCCTGAGTTTGAATCTAGGGAGAGTTGCTGCAACAGCTCACAACCATAACACAAAACCGTAACACTAGTCGGCGCAGGCCAGGGATGCCAGAGTTTAGCATCAGAAAGGGAAATGGGAGAAGAAATTGCCGCAATTTGTACGTTCATCCAAGGTCAGGAACAGAAACTGTGCAAGCAAAGATGAGCAGAGTTCACTATAGTTAAGTAAAGGGTAAAGGGACCCCTGACCATTAGGTCCAGTTGTGGCCAACTCTGGGGTTGTGGCGCTCATCTCGCTTTATGGGCCGAGGGAGCCGGCGTACAGCTTCCGGGTCAGGTGGCCAGCATGACTAAGCCACTTCTGGCGAACCAGAGCAGCGCACGAAAACGCCGTTTACCTTCCCGCCAGAGTGGTACCTATTTATCTACTTGCACTTTGACGTGCTTTTGAACTGCTAGGTTGGCAGGAGCAGGGACCGAGCAATGGGAGCTCACCCCGTCGCGGGGATTCGAGCCGCCGACCTTCTGATCAGCAAGTCCTAGGATCTGTGGTTTAATCCAATCCCTTCACTATGGTTACTTTTTATTTAATTTTTTAAAAAAAGAATTCTTTGCAAACATTGTGTAATTCATTCTGTTGTTTTCTGCATTGTTTTGGTATTTTCCTTCCATGGAAATGCACTGACATTAACTGCATAATTAGTTTCGGCCATAGCAAATAACAAGAGGAAGAACGTAGGTATCTGTGGAAGCCGAACTGCAGAGGAACGGAAGCAGTGCAGATTGTGGTGAGCACAGACCAAAGACCAAAGGTGGTGGAACTTCTTAGCTCCTCAGTGCTCTGCAGCAAATGTTCCAGGGTGGCAAATGCTCTGGCAAGAAAGTGGGTGAGGCCCAAACTCCTCCTCTCTCTCATACACACATGCAGGCAGACAAACAGATGCACAAGTGCTCACGCATACGCATACACACAAACAAAAGACAGACTCACAGCCCTGCTCATCTCCTGATCCATGCAGCAAAGAAGCTGGAAGTATTTTCTATACCCCACCCACGAAACATTTCATCAACATTTCTTCTCCCCTTTTTTTGGATAATTTTCAAATGCAATTTATTTTCTCATTAAATGACAGGAAAGAGTAACAAAAAAAGAGATTTCCTGCACAGAACTGGAAGATGCTGCTCTCAAGATATTGCTCTCCATCACAGAGCTTGTCGAGATTGTGAAAGCAGACAGGTGGCAGGAATAATTCAGCCTTCAATAGATTGTGGCTGGGTCAGGATTCATTGATCAAAAAGGATGCCCCACCCCATCAATGGTTTCAGTTGCTTCCCTCCCCAAAATTCCCCCTCACCCTCTGCCTCGGAGGTTTCACTTATCTGTCACAAAGCTCATTTTAGCAGAGAAGTCACAGCCCCAGCCTCCCCTCTGAGTCACAGCTGAACAGGAGGACAAGAGACAACAGACTTTCCTTCCTCTTCCATACTTCTGGGCTCATTTTATAAAGGAACAGGATTGCATAAAATAAAAATAAAAATGTAACAACGATAATAAAGGAGAAAGATAAACACCGCAAGAGGATAAAACACTGATTCAACGATCTGTGCAAGAAATCAAGGCTCAGATATTGACAAAAAGCACCCGTACAGGGAGGGAGAGAACTATTTATGCCTGAAGGAAAGGTAGAATATATATTTAGTAGTAGTAAATAATAATAATAATAATAATAATAATAATAATAATAATAATAATAATTTATTATTAACCACCCAGAACAGAATGAGCCAACTGCAGTTCACACTGTCTACTTTGAAAATGCCCCCCTCTCTTGCCTGTTTGTCAGGTGCACAGCTTATCTTTGCTGAAATATGTTACTGGCTATAGTGACTCAAGGTCAACGTGAGCAGCCAGGTAAACACTCGCGCCAGCCAGCTTTAGTAAATCATCATCTGTCCCCGTACTCTGACTTCATACTGCCAACAGAGATGCATTCCAGAAACAGCTACACTTCACTCCCTTCCTTCAAAGGGCCTGTTGTCGCAATCACCATTAAGAGGATGAGAAACAAAGTCCTTTCTGGGATTAAAACCAGAGGCATTCTTCTTTCTCCAGTGGTGGCCCGTCCTGTTTTGCCACCTGAGGTGAGACAAGAATGGGCCGTCCCCTGTGAGAGGGGGGCATTCTGCGAGGCCTTGCTGCTCATCTTCCCTGCCCCAGGGGTGAGGGAGATGAGTGACAATGCTGCATAATGGGACACACCCAGAGAAAGGGGGGCGTTCCATCAGTGGCTGAAGTGACAGGGCGAGAGGGGTGTCACCTCTCTTGAGCTTCCCCCACCTGAGATGGCTGCTTCCCTCTGCCTCATGGGTGGGACAGCTCTCTCTCCCTCATCCTTCCAGGCACCGTGGGCTGGAGACAGCCTCAGATGATGGGTGGGGGAATGCGATCAGGGACCCTCTCTCCCCCATTCCTCCCTTTGAAATGATGGTCCTTTATCTTCACACTGGACTGGACATATAGATGATGCTTTCAAACAGAGGGCTATCCTCTGCAAAAGTAGGGCAGATGGCAACTGTAGCCAAGCCTCTCCAGGGATGGACAGTTCCCAGCACCCCCCCCATACTGAGGGAGTGGTACGTGCCTGATGATACCGACCTCTCACACCAGCCCAACAACCTTCCATTTCCTCATAGAAGTTGGACTTCAAACATCAGGAACATACAAAGAGCTTGCTGGATCAGGCCAATGGCCCATCTAGTCTATGGTTACCACAAATTTTTAAATGAATCTGGGGACTCTTTTTTTTTTTTGAAACTGAGTAGCAACAGGGAGTCAGTAACAGGGATGGTGAGGCAAAAGATCCTGGGCCCAAGCACACATGCATATTGTATAAAGGTGCAAAGCCCTTCTTTCACACCCTGTGAAACACAAATGCACAGAGTTTAAAAAAAGTGAGCCTCCCCTGATCAGTCAAAACAAAGGGGGCAGGAGATCTGTACCGCTGGACGTCCCTGGTTCCCCTTCAGCAGTGGCAGCGGCAGTCTGCAGCCCAGAGCCAGCCTGGTAGCGCAGTTGGCTCTGGCTGGCTTCAGGAGCTGCTTGCTGCCGTGGTGCCCGCCAGTTTGACTCACAGAAGTCCCCATATGATGTGTCTTGTGCGCAACACCTCATATGGGGACTTCCGGTGATGAAAAATGGCAGGGGGCACAGCAGCGAGCAGCAAGCAGCTCCTAAAGCCAGCCAGAGCCAACTGCGCTACCAGGCTGGCTCCGGGCTGCTGAGGCTGCCGCTGCCACGTTTCCTGGGGACAGAGTTGCAAATCTGGGGACATTCCAGGGACGCAATATGTCAGATCTGCAAATCTGGGGACTGTCCCCGGGGATGTCTGGTAACCCTAATCTGGTCCTTTTTTCACAGTGGCCACCCCAGATGCCCCAAGGGGAAGTCCACAAGCAAGACCCAAACACAAGAGCACCCCCCTTTCCTGAAGTTTCTGGTAACTGGCATTCAGAAAAGCATTCCTGCCTCCGACTGTGGAGGCAGAGCACTGCCATCATGGCAAGTAGCCATCGAAAGAATGGTTACTTATAGAACATGCCAGATGTTTTCCCCTCCCCGGAGCAGTTGGAATGCTTGTGAATACTGGGTGCCACCACGCCAGCTCAGCCAATCATTGTCAGAGGCTACATCACCCACAACTGCAATACAAGAAAGACTTTGAGTGCCAAGGGCAGTTTTGGGTGAAACCAATGTCCTCCCTTCAGAGAAGGCATCAGATTCCCTCTGCTGAAAGAAGCAACATTGCCTTCTCATTTCTTGGTCCCTAAGCTGGCAACCAGGGAAGGCAATTGAAAGCCAAGCCCCCCCCCCCCGTTAAATATGCAACCAGCAGCTACAGAAAGCAGTTTGTGTGTGCATGTTGATCTATTATCATTTCATTAGGCTAAAGGTCACCATCTTTTTTTTACTTTCCATTTGGAAACCCATAAAAGCTGTAAAAGACACTGTCAAGTAACCCCCCCAAAACCCCCCCTCCTTTACATCTGCAAGCAATTTGCCAGGATGCAGAGCTTGATGTTTACAGAAGACCGAGATTCTGTTGCCGAGCGATTTGCAGAAAGAAAAAGAAAAAAGTAGATATAAAAAAAAATGTGGGATGAAGAGATGGAAATGCAACACTTTACGACCTAATTGAAAACTTCAGAGGCAATGATTAAGGCAGTTTCTCCGTTCTGTTGAAGTTGTTACTTTATACGACAGCCAAGTACATTTGGGAGAGAGACAGAGAGAGAGGAGAAGAACACGTCAGAGAACAGATCCAAACAAGAGAGGCCCTGGATTCCAAACAAAGGAAGTCAGAACATCGGTCCAGCTAGCTCAAGACTGTCATCACTGACCAGGATACCAGAAAAGGGACATTCCTGGGCTACCTGGAGATTTACTCAGAGAGGAGATGATCACAGGTTGCACTGCTGACCTCTATCTCCAATGGTGCACAGCGCTGCCAGTTACCCAAAGCAGAGCAAAGGAGCAGGGAGTTTGCCACAGAGGTGGTGCCAATCTGCCATTCCCGCCAGTGTGCCTAGGCCACACCAAGTTCCCAGCTTTCTTGCCCCACTCTTTCTCCTTCTTGGTAACCAGCAGAGATGCACAGCATTGGGAAGGCAGGCTAGCCACGCAGCCTCACCCTGCGGGCCGCTACTGTTAACACAAGGTTAGCAGGGCTAAGAAGACTCGTTGTGGTCTAGTAACTTGTGCTATCTCCCTAAGGAGGCCACTGTCTATCAGAGCACGCCCTTTCTCTTTGACCCAGCGTGCTTGCTGGTAAATTCACACGCGGGAATGAAAATTGCAGCAAGGCAGGGACTTCCGTTGGAGAACAATTACACGGTGTTATAAAAAGTTACGACCGTTTCCATATGAATGTAATGTTGGCTGTATATATGTGATCTGCTCCCTGTAAAGTAAGCAGAAGCTGTTGTACAGTTAGATCAAATGGCCCAGGTGGATCTGCAGGTCTGATCCTTGCCTGGATCCCTGGAGAGCCACTGCCAGTTAGTGCAGACAATATGAAGCAAGATGGACAATATAAGGCAGTTTCTTATGTCCCCCCCCCCCCCATGGCTGCTACTTGTAGTAGGAAAATTAAGCATCCAAGGACTTTAATGCATTTTAAGGTACATAATATAAGGTAACGCTGGATGGGCAAGAACTGAGCAGCAGCAGGAGAAAATTAAGAACAGAAAGGAAACTGAGAAAGAAAATGACTTGGAGGCTACGGACGGGTCTATCCTGCTCCCAAGCAGTGCTGTTATTGAAAAGGTATGACAAGGTTAATTGCTGGAAAACAGCTTGAGGTATCTTTGCGTTGCACCAAGGAAGCAAAACACACACACACAACTGGAGGTAATTAACAAGGCAATGAGCACATCTTTCAGAGGAACCAGAGAGACTAGGAAGTACTTTGCAAAGGAGGCTGAGAAGGGAACGGGGCAGGGATTTTATTTTGTTTTTGTGGTGGTGGTGAGGTCATAAGTAGAGATCCTTGAGGATTTGTTTTGTTTTGCAGTGAACATAACCTACTCAAATAATCCCACACCGGGGCTCAGACCAGAAAGTAGATCTGTCTACCAGATCAGTTGCTGGGGAGAAACTTCTTGTGAATTTCCCACCAGCAACTGGTTGGCCATCGTGAGAATGGGATGCTGAACTAGGTGGACTAAGGGATGCAGGAGGAATCCTTTTTAAACATATTTAGACACAGGATCTGGTAGTTCTGACCTATTCGAGCTTTGCCCCCATTAGACCACCTATTGCACAGGGTGACTCCTTAGGTCTGTGCTGTCTGTGCATTGTAACTTTTTTTTTTAAAAAAAGCCCAACTAATTATATATAACCTAATTATGTATAACATAAAATAGTCAACATCCGGTACTACATTTCTGCAGCCTGATTTTGTACGTATGGACACATAAATATTTTTGTACAGTCATATGCACAGTTGTATCTGTTTATGTGCTGGTTACTTTACACACACACACACACACACACACACACACAGTACTTTTCTGTGTAAAGTCTAGGTTTTATTACTGTAAAATAATGCTAAAAGTGGGGGACGGGGGGTCATCTTATACACGGGGCTATCTCCCCCCATTTTCTTAAATTGGAGTCCCCAAAAATAGGGGGCGTCTTATTCACGGGGGCGTGTTATACACAGAAAAATACGGTATATAATTTCTGTGTCGCTGTGTCATAAAGATACATCACATTGGTTTACAACCATATAAAAACCATGAAACCAAACAATAAAATCATAAAAAGTTGAAAGCAAAAAGAAATTAAAAAACACACACATCAGCAAACCAGTATTATTTTAAGCATTGTACTGCAATAATTGTTTGTATTTTTAGAAACAACTCTCTTCTTTTTCAGAAGAGAGAAAAAATTCAGGCAGTGGGGGGAGGGGAAGAATCTCAACATTGAGAACCCATTCCTTTGGTCTGAGCCAACACACAAACATGAATGCACACATGCTGGCTCTGATAGCCAGCCCTCTGCCACTCTCCCCAAATTTACCCTGAAGAACTTCGCCTCCCCAACCCATGTACGGACAAAGTTTGTTTTTCGCATTCCCAAACCTATATCTGAATCCACTTCTCTCCTCTATTCCACAGCCCCACTGTGCACCTGTTTTCACCTTCACCCCCATTGTCCATGCATCCTCCCTTACTCCCCCCCATCCCCTCTTGCACACAAACTACTCTCATAATAGCCTTCTGTAACTTCCTCTTCTTGCATACTGCAACTACTAAGCATCCTTTTCACCTTCTGCACAATTATGAAGCCACCATCCTCTTGAATCTACAAATCTTCCAATGGGGGCTGTACGATGACAGCCTTGCATTTTTATGTGTGTAGGAAGATATCTCTAGCTCGCTGCCCACATCAGTAAGTGGGAGCAATTATACCCCCCCTCCGCTTCAATTATGGAGGAATATGGAGAATTTCCTTTGTTCTGCATTTTTAAGGGAGATGACCTAATTTGCACCTCCCAGATAAATACACAGAACAGAATTATCTCTTGGATTTTGCTGTACCGCAAGTTCTGCAGTACAGTTTTAAGCTAAGAAAGGCACACTGTGAGGGAAAATGCACTCAGAAATATATACATTGACTGGTTCAAGATCTGGACAAGCCTTGACATCAGTCATATAGCAGATATTAGTCATGACAGCTCAATACAACCCTCATATCCAGGAACAGTCTACCCCTGAATATCATCAGCCAGGTGGCAACCAAAAAAAGAGAAGCTGACTTCTGGCCTCCTCCGAGTTCTGGTTGGCCACTGGTTAGATGGCCCTTTGGCCTGATCCAGTAGGGTTCCTCCTATATTCTGAGGAACCTGTACCGCTGCCTTGCTACCAAGTCAGACCATTGGTCCATTTAGATAATTATTGTCAGCACTGACAAGGCAGCACAGTGGTACCTCAGGTTAAGAAATTAATTCATTCTGGAGGTCCGTTCTTAACCTGAAACTGTTCTTAACCTGAGGTACCACTTTAGCTAATGGGGCCTCCCACTGCCGCCGCACAATTTCTGTTCTCATCCTGAAGCAAAGTTCTTAACCTGAGGTACTATTTCTGGGTTAGTGGAGTCTGTAACCCGAAGCGTCCATAACCTGAAGTGTCTGTAACCCGAGGTACCACTATAGCTCTCCATGGTTTCAGGTAGCTTTTCCTGGAGATTTCGGGAACGGAACCTGGAGCCTTCTGCATGTAAACCAGATGTTCTACCACTGAGATGTGACTCTTCTTAAGTTCCCAAGCAGTGAAACACCGTCAGCATTCACCCACAGCTTTTAAGCAGACGACAGATTTGCAGCAAAAAGAAAAAGACACTACAAATGGCCCACTTATCCAAAGAGGTCAGCACAAGATAACTGACCTGCCATAACCAGAGGCAAAGCTATATCTACCAAGCTATTCATCCAAAGCCGAGCGTTGCTCAGCCAGCTTAGACTCTTTTGGCACACCAAGCATCAGACAGTCCCCTTCTCCCAATTTCTCAGTCTGCCTGCCTCTAACTAATCAATCCCAGGGGAGTGGGGAGGAAAATGACAAATGCAAACCATGCCCCATGTTTGTAATTAATCAAAAGTGAAAAGAAGGAGGGCTCTAATCTGGCCTGTTGTTACAACAGGTGTATTACCCCTTCTTCGAAAGCAAACAGCCAGTGGAATGGTACGCAGTGGAAGCTGCATGCATGTCTATTCACAAAAACCCCAAACATTGAGTACAGGAAAGCGTTTATGTCAAGAGGAGTCCGGTCCCAGTTTCAAAGAGCAACGTGCTCTTCTCTACTCAGAAGCACCGTATTTTCCGCTCTGTAAGACGCACCAGACCATAAGACGCACCTAGTTTTTGGAAGAGGAAAACAAGAAAAAAAATATTCTGAATCCCAGAAGCCAGGACAGCAAGCGGGATCACTGCACAGCGATCCCGCTGGTTGTCCTGGCTTATGGGGTAGCCATGCGCAGCCTCTCCCAGGCAAGGGGAGCCTTCATCCCCTGCCCAGGAGAGGCTGCATGCAGCTAAGGCTCCCTCAAGAGCCGCGCTCCCTTTAAAGACCATGTGGAGCGTGTGTGTGGCTCTTCGGGGCTTTTCCCCGAAGAGGGAGAAGGGCTGCCCTCCACGCGGCTCTTTAAAGGGAGCACCGAGCATAGCGTCTCACCTGCATTTTCTCCATAAGACGCACACACATTTCCCCTTAGTTTTTAGGAGGGGAAAAGTGCGTCTTATAGAGCGAAAAATACGGTAAGTCCACTGAGTTGTATATGGCTGAATGTGGATATAGCCGACTCCCAGGTAAGTGGGCATAGGAATCACAGGATCATAAGAGTTGGAAGGAGACTGGCAAACAAATGGGTTACACCCAGGGGTGTTTTTCCCCAGCAGGAACTCAGTTCTGGCACCTCTCAGGTGGGCGCCATTGCCATTATGCGAGAACAAGGGAGGCGTTCTTGTTAAGTTCTGGCACCTCTTTTTTATTATTAGAAAAACAGCATCTGTCACAGCCATACACCATACATTTAAAGTACTTTTATACCACTTTCACAGCCGCAGGGAATCCTGGGAACTGTAGTTTGTCAGAGTGTTGGCCTTCGAGAGATATAATTCCCTGACCCTTATCAAACTACAGTTCCCAGGATGCTTCATGACTGTTAGAGTGATGTAAGAGTACTTCAAATGTATGTTGTGTCTGCAGAGAGTGTTGATGGGAGTGAAAAAGGAGGTTGGTCTACTCAGGGAGAGCATCTAAACAAAATTCTCTCCAAAATTTAGAGCTACTACCTACGGGACCGCCTCTCCTGGTATGTCCCACAGAAGAACTTACGGTCTTCAAATAAAAACATCCTGAAGGTCCCAGGCCACAGAGAGGTTAGGCTGGCCTCAACCAGAGCCAGGGCTTTTTCGGCTGCGGCTCCAGTCTGGTGGAACGCTCTGTCACAACAGACTAGGGCCCTGCAGGACTTGACATCTTTCCGCAGGGCCTGCAAGACAGAGCTGTTCCACCAGGCCTTTGGTCAGGGCGCAGCCTGACTCCCTCCTTTGGCAATCTTTACAGAATTTTAGCTTACGGTTGCCATCAATTTGATTTTAATTAATTTTTATAATGTTTTTAGAATGTTGCACTATTTTATTGTTGTTAGCCGCCCTGAGCCTGGCTTCGGCTGGGGAGGGCAGGATATAAATAAAATTTATTATTATTATTATTATTATTATTATTATTATTATTAATACTACTTGCTGATCAGAAGGTTGGCAGTTTGAATCCCCGGGAAGGGGTGAGCTCCCATTGCTCGGTCCCTGCTCCTGCCAACCTAGCAGTTCGAAAGCACGTCAAAGTGCAAGTAGATAAATAGGTACTGCTCCGGCGGGAAGGTAAACGGCGTTTCCGTGCACTGCTCTGGTTCGCCAGAAGCGGCTTAGTCATGCTGGCCACATGACCCAGAAGCTGTATGCCGGCTCCTTCGGCCAATAAAGTGAGATGAGCGCCGCAACCCCAGAGTCGTCCGCGACTGGACTTAATGGTCAGTGGTCCCTTTACCTTTTACTACTCCTGGGTGGGGGCTAAGATGCAATCCTTCACACAACAGGGATGGTGAACCAGTGCCTGCCTCATGTTGCTCAACTCTAAACTCCCACCATTCACCAGCTTGCATGGTCAATGGTCAGGGATTATGGGAGTTGGAGTCCAATAAAATCTGAAGGGCTGGTGTTTAGCCATATACACAATGAATGTGGGAGCAAGTCTCATTGAACTCAATAATGAATAAATACATAAGAAATAAATAAATGACTTCAAAACTTTTTTTGTTGTTAAAAGTGACAAACGTAGTAAGTAATAATGATAATGATGTTAAGAATAATAATATAGATAAGAGAAAATTTAAATGGGAGTTTGGATGAAGTGCTAGGTTTGTTTGTTTTTAACGCCTTCAAACAGCTTCACTGCCTAGGGCAGGGCTTCCCAAACTTGGGCCTCCAGCTGTTTTTGGACTACAATTCCCATCTTCCCTGACCCCTGGTCCTGCTAGCTAGGGATGATGGGACTTGTAGTCCAAAAAAACAGCTGGAGACTCAAGTTTGGGAAACCCTGGTCTGGGCAGTCAGCCAAATTCCATGGGCTCTTGGCTAATGCTATTCCTACTCAGAGTAGACCTGCACAACTAACTTAGATTTGTTAACTTCAGTCAGCGGGTGGGTTGGTTTAGGACTAGTGTTCCCAATCTCTTCCAGTGAATGGGTGTGTTTGTAGGGTTCCTTCCATACAAGGACAAAGTCCACTACCCAAAAGTTAAATTGTAACTTCATCTGAGGATTCAGGCTGGAGATTGGGGAGGCGGGAGGGGGAATACTTTCCAAATATCTACACTTTGATATAACAATATGCAGACCACACAGGGAAGAGATAAAAAAACCCCCAACTTCCATAATTTAGAAAGGGTAGTTTGCTTTAGGGGTTGTTTTTAATTGGTGTATAATTGGAGTTTTTGATTTCTATGCAGAATGAGAGCCAGGCAAAAGTTTCCAAAGAACTTTGAAACATTTATCCATTTCCCAGTCTTTGGCTCTGTGGCTCAGTATTTACAGAATTATAACCATCTAGTCCTCATGTTTTCACATTGCAAGTGATCGTACAGATGAATGTGCAAAAGCACTGAGCTTACATCACCACCCATCTCTGCAAGTTCAAAAATTGGGGGCCTCTTAGTTGCAATTCCTGCATTGCTGGGGGTTGGACTAGATGACCCCTGGGATTCCTTCCAACTGTGCAAATCTATGATTCTATTGCGGGTGAGGAAAACAGCCAAAGCCTTTGCACCGCTTAAGACCAGCAGGGTTTAGGCTGCCCGTTTCACTTTCTGCAATGCTGTATTTACTTCTTATCTATAAAGGTCCCTCTGTGTGCATCTTTATAGGAGGACAAGTCCTTGCCCCAGGCAGCTTACAATTTAAAACTCAACAGGCGAGGAAAGAACAAAAATAGGGAAATCGAGGCAGGGAAAAAGAGGGAAGAAGTCTGCCATTGTTTCAGCTACATGGGCTCAGACTGGGTGGCACATTTGAATGTGTAGACAGTACTAAGATCGGTGGACCAATGGCCTCACTTAGTATATGTCTAGGCAGCATTGTTACTTTCCTAAGTGGTTCAACATAGCTGCACTTTGCTCTCAGTGTTGGGGTGGCGGAGATCAGGCGCTCGCAAGTTTTGCCAGGACAGCTAAGGGGAAAGTGCTGGGTAACCTGGAGCAAGTCATTGGTTCTCAGTCTCTGTTCCTCCACCTGTAAAATGGGACTATTCACAAAGCTCTTGAGAGGAGGAACATACTCATGGCTGCAAAACACTTCTTGTATAGAACAATCGTTAAGGTTCTGTGCAACTCAAATGCTGGTCAAGGTTCCAGTCGTTGCCCCTCAGATCTCAGCAAGGAATTTTTCTCTCTCCTTCCTAAGTACTGTATCAGTGATTTCAGGACATAGATCAGGTATAGGGAAGCTGTAGCTCTCCAGATGACTCCATTAATTCCAGCCAGGGATGATGGGATAGATTCCAGCAACACCTGGAGGAACATAAGGACCCCATCCCTGACTTAGAGGAAAGAGAAAGTCACATGCAACTTTTAACTCTCCTGCCTTGAGTGACATCTGGGGGGAAGAAAGCATGTTGTCCATCAGCCACATGGCTTGTTATGATGGTGAACGGTACCCATCCATTCATATAAGCACCCCACCACCACTCTCATTGAACTCTCATGTGGGCACACAGCAAAGGCCACAAATCTCTCGCACTTCTGCAGATAGAGAAGCACGGGAATCTGCCTACAACTGAGCCATTAGTCCATCTAGCCCAGTATTGTCAACACCGGCTGGCAGCTGCAGTGTTGGGTTAATTATAATTATAATTTATTTATACCCCACCCATCTGGCTGGGCTTCCCCAGCCACTCTGGGTGGCTTCCAACAAAATATTAAAATACAGTAATGCATCAAACATTAAAAGCTTCCCTAAACAGGGCTGCTTTCAGATGTCTTCTAAAAGTCAGATATTTATTTCCTTGACATCTGGTGGGAGGGTGTTCCACAGGGCGGGTGCCACTACCGAGAAGACCTTCTGCCTGGTTCCCTGTAACTTGGCTTCTTGCAGTGAGGGAATGACCAGAAGGCCCTTGGCACTGGACCTCAGTGTCTGGGCTGAATGATGGGGGGGGAGATGCTCTTTCAGATATACTGGACTGAGATTCTTTGTCACTGAGCTACGTACATGGGAGGTTTGCCTCCTCAACTCTGGAGAGATATTGGGCTAGAGACTCCACCTGTCATCCTTCAGGATCACATGGGGTGGGGGTAGATCAGCGGTAGCCAACATGGTGCCCTCAAGATGTTGTTGGGCATCATGCTGCTTCTAAGGGTAGTTTACCCACCTTGCACTCAGCTCTCACCTGGGGCTCCTAGAAGCTGTCAGCAGGTGACAGCAGCCACACCCTGGGAACAGCTTTGACCGGCCAGCTAAACCAGGTGAGGGTAGCCAATGGGTCTCAAACTCTTGGTGAGTTAGGGACTTCTCCTGCATGCGAAGGCAGGCTCTGGTGGACTGAGTGGATGAGACCACTAGTGGGCCCAACAGCCAAGAAGGCGGTTTCTGCACATGCTGTAGAGGGAAGTAAGAGGCAGATGGGACTCATCAACCTGGGAAGGTAGCCCATCTAGGAGAAAGAAAGCTCTGGTCCTAAATCTCTGCTGCATTGCAAAATATCTTTGGGAGAAGAAAAGGCTAAGGAGTAAACCCTACACAAATCCGGAGTGGAGTCCCTAAGGCAGTTGGGTGGCACTTTGTACACCTCCTTCTGGCAATTCCTGCAGCCAAGCTGGTGCCAAATGTATTTCTCTGCTTTCCTTTGGACTACATCAGCAAAACTGAGAAGGGGGTCTTGTCATCTGGGCAGCCCAGGACCTCCATACACACTGCCCAGGTCACTTTAGTGCTGCTAAAACAGCAGTTTGACTTCACCCCCGGAAGTATACTCCACTGTCTCTTGAGACAGGCATATGGCAGCAGCAGCAACAACAACTCCCATCATGCCCGAGCACTAGCTATGCTGGCAGGGGCTGATGGGAGTTGGAGTCCAACATCTGCAGGGCATCACATATACGGCTACCTATATTAATGCCAGGAAATATTTTGTAGGTTCCAGGGAGGCTGCAGCCGATTTGGCTCGAGGGACCCCACCCTCTGACATCACCTACACATCCCCCCTGGCCTGTTCTTTTTGCTGCTTTCCTGCAATTTCCTCGTCGACGTGAGCACAAGAAGAACACGAAAGCCACGGCACACACACCGCTACACACCCTCAGGTGCAGCACACCTTTCCGGACAGCTGTTCTGCAACCCCGTGTGCCGAAGGCCCCCGACCCAAGACAGCTGGCAATGAGGCAACCCGGAAGGGCGATCCTAATTAAAACCCAAGGTGCCAATGGGCTCCTAGCAACCACAGATCACGTTAAGAATTATCTCATGCACCGAGGGCCCACCTCCCACTCCCAGCCTGCCAAACTCCCAGCCTTCGAACAAGGCACTATCCAACAAGTCCTTCACTGTTTGGGGCTCGGGTGCCCTGTTAGTAGCGTCGCAACCACACCTCCCTGAAGGCTATCATTTCAGAGGCTCAGCGCTGGCTCCCACTCCCCTTCTCTGAAACACGGAAGGGAAAAAAATGAACCATGCCCTAGAGAGAGAGAGCCGTTCTGGGTGGCTGCTCCTAGTTCTCGCGCCTCGGCAAGTTTAAAAGCGATTGACAAGGTGCTTTTAAAAAAAGAAGACGACGGAGACTTGCCTGCACAACACCAGCCTGCCCATGTGGCCTCTGGTGTTTCCCCGAGGCTGTTGTAACAAATGCACAAACTTACACAAGCTTACTCGCAGGGCAAGGAAAGCCAGCCCAGAATGTGGCAAAAGGGATCTCCCTTCAAACACCCTCAGCAAAAGCCCCCAAAAAGATGAGGCCCGAGACGAGGTAGCTATTTTCAGACAGGTAACCGTGGAAGCAACATCTCTCCCCACATACCAGGTTTGTTCTCCTCGCTTTCCGACTTCATGGTGCGGAGTCTGGAGAGGGGAAGGGGAGACTCGGCCCTGGAGAGTTGAAAGATTTCTTTCTTTCTTTCTTTCTTTCTTTCTTTCTTTCTTTCTTTCTTTCTTTCCCCTCCTGACTCCTCCCCACCAAAGCAGGAAGTGCCCTTTGCGCTACCTGAGCACCTTGGAACCTGACCCTGTTACAGGTTGCAGAGTTTGCCAGCATGAGCTCACTGAGAGGAAGGAGGCGTGTCCAGGGAGAGAACTTCACCTGCCTGGCTTAGCCTTCCGATCAGAGGTTTTAAGCTGCACCAAACAAGATTTCAGGACTCAGCTCTTTCTTTTGAAGCTGCTCAGCCAGGCCGCCCCTTTCCTTCTCACGGGGGAAAGTGCCAAACGGCCCCACTGTTAGAGTCACAGAGAAGAAAAGGGAGCAGAAAGAGACTGGGAAGGAAAAGCTTTGGTACAAGAATTTGCCGTCCTCCCATAATGCACTGCCCCGTCACGCTGGGGACGGGAGGGGAGAGAGAGGCTTGTAGCTCCGAGGCAGAGCACATGTTTTGCACATCAAATCGTAGAATTGTAGCGTTGGAAGGGGCCCCCCAAGGGTCATCCAGCCCAACCCCCTGTGATGCAAGAATCACAGCTAAGTTATCCCTGACAGATGGTCACCCAACCTCTGTTTAATCATAGAATTACAAGGGATCCCCAAGACTCAATGCCCAAATGCCTGCAATGCAGGAATCACAGCTAAGCACTCATGTGCGGTCCCTGATTTTGGGGACCGCAACCAGGAACAGACATTTCTCAGCTCAGGAGAGATGCTGCCAGTCAGGGAGGATGGCACTTGGGCATGAGAGACCTGCTCATATAAAGAGACATTGCTGGACTCCAACTCCCCTTGTCCTAGTTAGAATGACCAATGGTCAGGGAGTGATGGGAACTGCAGTCCTACAACATCTGAACGGCCATTAAGTTAGCAGCCTTTGGTCCACAGTGACTGGCAGTGGGTCTCCGAGGTTTTTAGACATGTCTAGTTCTCAACTCTACCCAGAGATGCTAAGGACTGAACCTAGGACCCTTTCTGGATGCAAGGCACTATGGTCTGTCTTGTAAAGATGGTAGTCCTCATGGTTTCAAATAAAAATTGAAACCTGGAATCTTAGAAACATGGATGTGCCAGCACTTAGTCCCATTCCTTCTTCCTCTATCTCTGAACAAATTTCTCCCAATAAACACATTTTTGCAAGGCAATCTTCCCTCCTCATACAAAGCATTTTTTGTATGTCTTCATTACATTGATCTATTAGCTTCAGTGGGTCTCCTCTGAGCACGACTAGCAATGACTGCGACACTAGGCCTACTCAGAGTAGTCCTGATGAAATTAACAGGCAGGGCTAACATAGTTTCATTAATTTTAATGGGTCTGCTCTGAGCAGGAATTAGTTGAATGCAAGCCTTTATTTCCAGCATTTTCTCCTGTGAGCTCTCCCCCTCCCTCCTGTTTTATCCTCACAACAACCCTGTGAGGTAGGTTAGGCTGAGAGCGACAGACCGGCCAAGTGGGGATTTTAACCCTAGTCTCCCAGGTCCTAGTCTGACACTCTAACCACTATACCACACTGCCTGCACAGAGTATTCCAAGTGCAATTATACCATAGAATTATACAAAACCATCATGGTTGGGGGGTTGGGCTAGATGACCCTCTGGGTCCCTTCCAGCTCTACAGTTCCCACTGGTTGGCACTGGCAAGCTAAACACCGCCCAGTGGTTGCCAGCAGATGGCAAAAGAGGATTTTAAAATAATAATAATTAGATCTTCTTTCTCAATGTTTCCATGAAGTCACAGCGCTACATGGTTTTGGAATGGGACCCAACAGGTTTCTATTTAATCCCCTGAACTACTTTTGCTTCCAATGCAGCAGCTGGGGGGTAGGCAACTTGATTCAGCATTTGGGGACAAGGCTACAAATGAAGAAACACCTGTGCTTTTTGATAAAGGCAGCTTTCCCCTGTTGGATGATGCCAAAGGACACTTGTTTCTCTGAAGAAGTGTGCAAGCTACATCAAACAGTGCTTTTGAGAAGTAATTGAGCTGGGGGCTCTCTTAAAGCACTTCTCAAAAGTGCTGTTTGAAGCACCACCACCACATTGGGAGAGACTGCAGTCAAACATAACTAAGCACAACTGCTATTGCTAGATAGACTCAGTTAGGTCATGCCCCCTCACCATGGAAAGAAGTCAAGGTCCCTCCTTTGTCCATATTCTTTCCCACAATGTAACCATTGAAGAAGGACGTCTGAAGAGACTTTGTTTAGCCCAGATGGGCACATGACTTCTAACAGAGCCATCTTAGGGTTTCTGCACAATTAATTTAGAAACACAAACTTGTTCTGCAGCATGTAGCCAGTGAGGACAGACTGGCTAGCTCTGAGCTTAGAGCACATGGCTGAAGCTATCTTGCTGTATTTTCTACCCAAGTGAATCTTGCCTGTATTATCCTTGCTGCTGCAGCGAACAATGCACGACTAAGACCTTGAATCTGTAAGTAAATCATTTTAAACTTACTTCAAGCATTTTAAACTTACTGGAAAACACTCGGCCAGCTGCTTCTTTACAAATACGGTCTACATGATTTTGAATATCTTCACTGTGCCCCTGACCATTTGTGCAGACAAACTGGAGTAGCCCCAGATTCTCCTGAACTGCACTTGTAAGTCACAACAAATTACTGAAGAAAAGAATGAGAAACGACAGCATCCTAATTCTCACCTTAACGCTGGCAACTGGTTGTATGAGGAGGAAAGGGGGGTGTTGGGAAAGTTTGTTGGTTGTAATTTTGTTTCTCATAGAGGGACTTGCAGCTCGTGTGGGGGTTACGTTCCTGGAATGGAATATAAGGGAAAACACATCCAGTCAGAGCACCCCCTTGGAATCATCCCTGTGCAAGCAATCTTACCTTCTGGAGTCATGTGCTGAGCAGACCTTGCCCCCAAGCAAGGCACAGTGCTTCTAAGCTCTCAGACTTGCTTACCAGGCTCTGGGAGGCTCTCATGAAATCTTGCGGGGCTGTCCTGTGAAAGCTTGCTAGACCCCTTCATAGCCCACTAAGCAAGGTAAAGGTAAAGGGACTCCTGACCATTAGGTCCAGTTGTGGCTGACTCTTGGGTTGCGGCGCTCATCTCGCTTTATTGGCCGCAGGAGCCGGCGTACAGCTTCTGGGTCATGTGGCCAGCATGACTAAGCCGCTTCTGGCGAACCAGAGCAGCGTACAGAAACGCCGTTTACCTTCCCGCCAGAGCGGTACCTATCTATCTACTTGCACTTTGATGTGCTTTCAAACTGCTAGGTTGGCAGGAGCAGGGACCGAGCAACGGGAGCTCACCCTGTCACGGGGATTCAAACCGCCGACCTTCTGATTGGCAGGTCCTAGGCTCTGTGGTTTAACCCACAGCACCACCCATGTCCTTTCAAGAGGGAGAACTTAAAAACTCTTTCGACATTGGGAAAACCCCACACAAAAAGCTCTCCGCTTTCCATGCATTCAGTCTGCATGATTGCATCTGGCCTTCAACTGCATAAAATTGAAATTGTGCAAGTTCAACACATATAAGTTGTGTTGACTGTATTTTAAAACAAACTCCCTTCTTTTAAAAGGAAGAATGAGAAACTGCGAGAAAGCGAAACTGACAGATCCGTCCATTCTGATACGAGAGTCCTACCACCCTCCACAGAAATCGCAACAGGCTTGGGCTGCCATAGCGACTCACGGCAGCAGATTCTGCTTTCGCTGGATTGATTGTGTTGGAGACATTTAAAAAGAGCATGAACTTGATGTCTCAAAGGGGCAGGCTTAATGAGCAGAACACTTTTCCCTCTAAGTCTCCCCTCCTTTAATAAATCCTGTTAGGAGGGACTGCGAGGAAGCAACAGCCTGTTATGTAAGCTATCACGAATCGCTTTCCTTAATGCAGTAATTCTCGGGATTACAAGCCAAGACTCAAGCGGGCTTATATCTTCGATTTGCCTGGTAACCTTTAGCAGGCCTGCCTCTTGTTTTTAAGATTTTTTTCTAGCGGGCCTATTTGGATTGCAAAACTGTAGGGCAATCGGTCATCGCATGTGTGCCTGAGTGTGTGCAAGGAGGATGGCTGCGCACGGCTATGATCTACTTCCACTACCTCCAGATTCCTGTTGTTGCTGGGAATTGCAAGTGGTGAAAGTGCTGCTGTTGCACCCAGGTTCTGCTCATGGGCTTCCCATTGGGGCATCTAAATGATCATGGTGAGAACAGGATTCTGGACAGGATGGGCCTCCTTTGGCTTGATCCAGCAAGTCTATTTGTATTTTATTAAACTTGTTAGTTGCTTTTCCTTGCCCCAGGCAACTCAAAGCAACTTAAAGGTAAAGGTAAAGGGACCCTTGACCATTAGGTCCAGTTGTGGCCGACTCTGGGGTTGCGGTGCTCATCTCGTTTTACTGGCCAAGGGAGCCAGCATACAGCTTCCGGGTCATGTGGCCAGCATGACTAAGCCGCTTCTGGCGAACCAGAGCAGCGCATGGAAACACCGTTTACCTTCCCGCCGGAACAGTACCTATTTATCTACTTGCACTTTGACGTGCTTTCGAACTGCTAGGTTGGCAGGAGCAGGGACAAGCAACAGGAGCTCACCCTGTCTCAGGGATTCGAACTGAAGACCTTCTGATCAGCAAGTCCTAGGCTCTGTGGTTTAACCCACAGCGCCACCCATGTCCCCAAAGCAACTTACCACCAAGCAAATAAACAACACACATGGATACATTTAAACCAAGGGGGAAATGCATTAAAATCACCCCACCCACTTCTAAAAGGCCATAGATAGTTAGAGGCCAAACGGTGGTGCCATCTTTGAAGCTAGAAACATCTTTTTAAGCTAGAAACTTGGGATTTCGCCTGACAGGCAATACCTTTTTCACTCTCATGCTGCCCTCGTGGAACCGGCAATAACTATCCAAGGAAGCAATGCTAATTTGGTTTAGAGTCAAACCAGTGACCTCCAATCGACAGCCAAACCACTGCGTTGCTAGTCCCCTTAAGCCAAACAGCTTCCTGATGCTTTGAAATTATTTGGGGTTAGCTCCAAATTCATGGAGCTGGTGAAAGAGCAACTACTGCAATTAATATATGGACACTTGAAGCAAATCCATTTCCTGGGCATCTAGGCCCCTTAAGGCACA